CTCCTCTCTACTAAGAGGTCACAGGTAATAAATAAAGCCAGTAATGGGAGAGATGAAGTGGGGTGATATAATGAAGAGATATCAAGGGGCTGTAGCTTAGGGTGGTCAAGGAGGTCCTCTCTGAGGAGGTGACATTGAAGATGCATCCTGATCATAGGAAGAAGCCAGCAGGACGAAGGCAGAAAAGAGCATGACAGACAGACAGAGAGCCAGGGCAACGCCCTGGGCAAAGGAGGAGATTGAGTGTTCAGCAGACAGAACAGCTGATGGGGCCAGGACCTGGGAATTGAGAAGCAGGTGGAACAAACTGATGTGCTGGGGGCAGCGAGGATCGTGGATATGGATTCTTGCAGGCAGCATCAAGAAGTTCAAGTGCAGTGGGGAGCCCTCGAAGCAGAGTAGGGTCCTACTAGATTCTGGTTTTGAATAGGCCATTCTGCACATGCTTTGTGGAGAATGCGCTGTTAGTTGTTGGAGCCCCAGCCCTGCTCTACAAAGGGCTAAGCATCATAAATTTCCCCACTGTGCTGTCTGAAGGCAGGAGGATGACCGAGCTGACCTCTTGCTCCCCTGTCAGCACCGCTGATTCAAGCCACAACTGTGCCCCAGAGGGGACTTCTGTGGGAATGCAACATCTGGGCTGTCAGAGCATCTGAGGAATTTCTGGAAACCCAGGCAGGGCCCACTTGAGTGACCAGGTGGACTCTGGGGAAACCTGTGGTGTTGTCCACAGAGAGTCTTCCCAGGCTGCTCGGCCAAGGTTGGCCAACAGGTCAACGAGCTTGACCCTTGTGTAGTCACTGGGCACAGAGGCCGTGAGTGGGCAGCAATTCCAGAATGGAGCAGAGGCCTCTGACCCCAGCCTTCTGTCTGGCCTCTGTCTTGTCCTATGGAAAGGACCCCCTCACCACATGCTGATGCCCCAGGTCTTCATGGAGCACTCCTTAGAGCTACAGGGCTGGGCGGTCGTTTCAGACAATTTTAGCAACAGAATCTTGTTCAGGTAGAAAGGAAGTGAGAACCTGAGTTCACAAAACAGATGAAAACTTGACCTCCCTACTTGGAGCCAGGATGCACCTCCCAAGACCACTTCATCCTTCTTCGACCTCACTCACCAGCAACTTTGGGACAGCCCCTTGTGCTCTCTGGCCTCAGTTTCCATCTCTGTCAGTGAAGAGCTGAGCTGTGTGGTGTCTCCTCACCCCACCCTTCCACAGGGACCCCCTCGTGCTTGGCAACAGAGCTCATAAGAAAGCCTTCAGGAGCTCCCTGCACACACACAGAGAGAGAGACAGATGGCCCACATTGCCCACCACAATGTGTATCAGGGAGAGGAAGAGCAGGGATGGGACCCTCAGCTACTGCCCAAATCCTAGATGACAAGACAGTAAAATGCAAAGAGCCACCACCTCTATTATGGCGGAATCTTCTCTGGAATGGTTTATTCCTTTCCTAAGTAGTGCCCCAGGAACTAGGTGGGTGCTGTAGTCTCCTCATGCCAGCCCGTCTGAGGCAGGGTGTGGCCTCCCTCAGGGCCAGTGTCCAGCTCTGGCACACACTCTGCCTGAGATAAGATCAGGTCTCCCCCAGGCCTCCGTCCCCCAACAGTTAATGCAATTTTTCTTCCTGACTGACAATAGGCACAACACCAAAACAGTCAACTATTTTTATCTCCGGATTAATCACAAAAAGGCTAACGCTTCCACCTTCCTTGTGATTAAAAATTAGGAGACCAAACGCTATAGTGGTTCAGGATAATAACCAATCCTGGGAGGGGGATGTATGAATAATGCATCTCCAGGCTCGGGCTGCTCCACAACTTCCTCCCCTCCCAGCTGTCCCAGCCCTGGGCCCCAGTCTGAATGGAGAGGTAATGAGTTGCCCCCGCCCCCCATCTGAGCTACAGCTGCCAAGAGCGACTGTTGATTTCTATTCAGCCGGCTGGTCCCTAAACATCCTCCTTCCTCACCCATCCCCACCCCCACCTGCCCCAGCCCCTACCCACACCCTCCTACCCCCATCTGGTGTGCAGCGAGGCGAAGGCCAATCAATAATGCATGGCTACATGAATAACCAGCATGATAACCACTTATTTGGGAAGATGTAATCAGGACCCATTCTGAGGGTGGATGTTTGTGTGTGTGAATGTGTGTGTGTTCGCCTGAGAACTCCCACAACAGCCCCCACTCCCTTCTCCCCTCATCCGCACTCCCTCTAATCCAATATCCCTGAAAGACAACACTAGAGAAGCAAGAAGAAATGGCTGAGGCCTCACTGTTGGGTTTGGGGGGAAGACCCCTCCCTCAAGCCTTTACACCTTGATCGGAGTAGTATAGTTCTATGCACCTGAGCAAAAAGCCCAGAGAAGATTGGTTCTCAAACAAGGTCACATATGGGGATCATGGGGACCCACACCTGTAATCCCAGCAGCTTAGGAGGCTGAGTCAGGAGGATCCCAAGTTCAAAGCCAGACTCAGCAACTTAGCAAGGCACTAAGCAACTCAGTGAGACCCTTTTACTAATTAAAATATCAAAAAGGACTGGGGATGTGGCTAAGTGGCTCAATTCCCAATAACTGCCTCCCCCACCAAAAAAAAAAAAAAAAGTCCTAATGCTCAGGGTCCACCTGCAGAGACTGGGATCTAGTTGATCAGAGTGCAGCCTGGCAGCAGGATTTTTGGATAGTCTAACAGGCAGCCAAGCCTTTGAACCCATCTCAGACCCAAAAGATGTCGATGCTGGAGAGAACTTCCCACGTCCTCTGTTGAACCTTCACATTTTATACTTATAGAAAACTAACACAGGGAGGAGCCAGCCTTCCTGACATCTTCCTGAAATCCATATCCCTTGGTTCATCACTGGGGAGGCTGAGGAGACGAGGCTGGGCCAGTTCATTCTGTTCCAGAAGCTCCAAGTGGCTCTTCCCTGGCCCCCAGCAGCTCAGGTGTGACTCTTCCTTGAGGGTGTCCAGTGGAGGCAGGGTGCTGCCATCACAGATAGAAAGGGCAGTGGCCCTGGCCTTGTGCAGGATGAGGGCTGGATTCTTCTCCAAGTCCCAGCTCTCCCTGCCGGAAGGACCCACCCCATCGCAGGCAGATGAAGTCCTTCTGCTGGGCAGCTAGTCCACAGCCATTGATGGAAAGCCCTCATTAGCCTCCTGGCTGCTCGGCGGCCACGCCCACACCAAGGAGTCCTTGGGGGCTAATGAGAGGTTTGGGGTGGGCGAACATGGGCTGTGTCCTGCCCAAACCCGCCTGCTTCCTCTGAACCTGGCAGCTCCAGGCTCCCCTGGGGAGGTCTGGCTTAGAACCCAGGCCAGGCAGCGCTGGACTAGGCTGACTTTCTTCCCGGGCCAGGATCCCTGCAGTCCTGGGCTGGCAGCCAGGGGATCAGTGGTCCCGTCTTGGGAGCCCTTGGGGGTTGGTTTCCTCAAGAAGTGGCACTGCTGGGTTGTTAATGCCAGGTCAGTCCTCTTCCAAGGCCGGGCAGGGAGCGGGTGAACAACCAGCCTAAAGGTTTGATGCTTTGGATACTGATCTGGCCCCATGTGGAGCCCTCCCAGAGGTTTTAGAGAAGCCAGAGTAGACGAAAAGAAGGACCAATAGCTGGTGGCTGGCAGGGAGATGCCCCCAGAAGACACGGCAGGTGGGCAAACTCTGGGAGCCACCCTGAGGACTGATGCTGGAAAACACAGTCCCCCATGGAGAACTCCCAGACCCACAGCCACAAGCACAGACTCTCTCAGACTCCAGGTGGAAGGACGGCCTTCCTCTAACAACTGAACAGGAAGATCCTTTGTGCCAGGTCCCCAAGCCCCAGTCATCCACTTACCCCTTCATTCACTGAGCACACACACACAGCTCACACCTCTATTGTGTCAGGGGAGACCCTGAGCCCCTCCTACACTCCAGAGCCAACTGACCCAGTCCTCCAAGTGGAAGGGAGACAGGTTCCTCAAGAAAGAGTGGCTTTAGGTGGTCTCCAATGAGCCCTCCCCTTTCTGTGTCTTGTCCAGGGAGAAACAGAGTCCTGAGACCCTCAGTGTGTCCATGAGCACAGTGAAGGAGGCTCTGTGTCTTTAGACAAGTCACTTGACTTCTCTGGGCCTCTTCTCTAAATGATAAAATGGTCCACCATCAAAACTGCTCATCCTATAGCCCACAATGATCATGAGACCAAAGGTGTGACTCACCAGAGTTAGCAAATGTCAGTTGAGCACAGGGACTCTTCACAGTGGGGCACTGCAGTGCTCTTCTTCTCCTGGCATTCTGGATCCCTTGGTGGGGACCTCCAGTCTCCAATCATGCTACCAACCCAGTCACCAATCATGAACAGTGGAAAATTCAGGGCAGGAGAGACTCATTCTGACCCTGGGGATGCTCAGCCAATGCCAGGGTTGCATAGTGCCTTGGAGAGCTGCCCCCACCCTGAAGCATTACCTTGTCACCTGTCCCTTGCTAGGGAAGGGACCAGCCTGAACTCCAGGGGTACGGGCATAGCTTCCAGCCCTGGCTCTGCCAGGTATTGGCATTTGCTGTGTGATCTTGACCAAGTCGCTTAATCCTGCTGAGCCTTGGTTCCTGGATCTGTGTAATTGGGATAATAGTGTTTGCTTTGAAAGACTGTTGTGAAGACTAAATCAGAGACAGGTGGGATAGCACTCTGGTTTAAAAAAAAAAAAAGTTAAAAAGAAAGAAACCATAGATATGTCTGGGCCACACCATTCTGCTTCCAAATCTAAAAGACTAAGGAGGACACCTGCCACGTCCCTTCATGTGCTCATCATGGACCAGACGATAAACTGACATGTCCTCTGCAGATATGCATGTGTCAGGAACGACTGCTGGTGGTGCAGCTATTGTCATAATCCATGGGATTTTGTTGATGATTTGGTTAATCATTGTTTCTCATCTTCCCCACAGGACTCACCCAGCCAGCTACCCCAAGGGAAGGAGGAAGGGGCTGCCCCCAGCCTAACTTCTCTGCTCCTCTTTCCACAGTGCCACCTGATGACCCCGTGATCCTAGGGGGGCCTGTGATCAGCCTGCGGGCAGGGGACCCCCTCAACCTCACCTGCCATGCAGACAACGCCAAGCCTGCCGCCTCCATCATCTGGCTGCGAAAGGGAGAAGTCATCAACGGGGCCACCTACTCCAAGGTGAGCCAGGGCGGGGAAGGACAGGGAGGGCTCAGAGGCAGAGAGGACAGCTCTCCCTGTCTCTCTGCAGCTAGCTCGCACTCGCTCTCTCTCTTGCTCTCTCTCTCTCTCTCTCCCTCCTTATCTCTCTCTGCATGTTTTCTGTCTTACTCTGCTTCTTTCTCTCTCTCACGCCATGTCCCCCCCACCCCACCCCACCCCCACCTCCCGGCCACTAGTCTGTCTCTCTGTCTCTCTCTCTCTTTCCTAAAGCAATTGTTGGACAAGGTGAAAACCCTACAATAGGGTATGGTCAGAAGAGGAGACTCATGGACAGAAGTGACCAGGGTCTAGGGCTGCCAGGCTGGCCTTGCAAAGCCCATAGGTTTAATTCCTACCCCTAAGGGATGACTTAGGAAGGGGGACCTTTCAGAAGTGGCTAGGTCACAACAGTGGGGTCCTTTTGAATACGATTGGTGCCCTCACAAGAGGCCCAAGGGGTACCTCTTGTCCTTTCCACCATGTGAGGTCAGAGTGAGAAAACTACCATACAGGAACCAGATGTCTGGCCCTCTCCCTACTCTGAATTACCTTTGTCTTAGACTTCCCAGCCTACAGAACTGTCAGAAATAAGATTCTGTGGTTTACAAGTCACCTAGTTTATGGTATTCAGCTACAGTAGCCTAAATGGACTCAGAAAAAAAAATGCCTAATTTAATTTCAATTTCAGAAAAACAATAAGTAAAATTTTAGTTATAATTATGTCCCAAATAAGTATTGCATGGAATGTATTAATGACTGATGATTATGCTGAAAAATAATGCACTGTTTATCTGAAATTCAAATTTAACTGGGCATCCTAGACAACTGGGCATCCTAGACTCGGGTTTGGCTGATCTGCATATCAAAGGAAGTTGTTAGTGAGTTAGCTAATCCTAGGGCCCCAAACTGTCAAAACATTGTCACACATGGCAGGATCATATCCCTATCCCAGGGCTGCCAGGTAAAGAGGTTCTGCCCTGTCCAAGATTCCTGACTCAGGAGCTATTTTTAAAAACCAGTGGGAGCTAGTTTTTATAAAGTACTCAAGATTTGATTTTGTTTGGGTATCAAGTGTAGCCCAGACCCACTGAAGTTATTCAAGTTGTCCAAACCTAAACCTGCTCTGCTGCCTGCCTAACCCTGCCCCACCCATTCCTTCCCACACAAGCGAAGACCAGGCTCAGCTCCCCTCCCTCCCTCCGCCCCTGAATGACCCTGCTTCTTCCCCCATGTGACCCTACCTGGCATGTTGTGGCATGACATGCCCCCTCCTCTGGGGAACTGTGAGTAATAAACTTTCTATTCAATGGCAGTGACCTCCTCTTCTGTTGACCTCACTATACCTGAATAAATACAAAATCCTAAGTACTTTTCAAACAGCCCCAACCAAACTTCCCTCCAGGAGACTGCATAGATTCTCTTATAGGCATAATATACATGGAATCTTTCGGATGAAGGGACCTTAAAGGATGGGGATCTAAGCTTTTCTTTCTAGGGACAGAAAATTGCAAGGAATTATGTCCTCTTCTCAACTGTCCAATGGCCAGCATCAGGATGAAGCCACAGTCTCCTGACACTCAGGCCTGTCTCTTTCCTGGGTTCTTCCCCGATACCCTCCAACAGATGGGCAGCTACCCCACAAGCCCACCCAAAAGTTGTGTCAGGGTCCATGGCCTCTGAAGCTCTCAGAACCCCAGTGCTCTCCTCCACAGCCTCAGAGAGTGGGGAGGTGCTCGGCTTGCTCCCCAGCCCCAGCCCACCCCTGGCTCCTCTTCATGGATCCTGGAAAGAGAAGAAAGGCTTTTGCCATCAGCAGAGGATATGAGGCAAGGCTGTCCCTCCTCTGAGAATGTGTCCTTCCCATCCAAAACTGACTACCCTGCCAAAGGTTCATGCCAGGGCTGCTGATCAAAGCTTGGCTGCCACTCAGAGCCGGCAGCCAGATCCTAGGACCAATGCCTTCTCCCGGGCACAAGTCCATAGGGGAAAGCTGCCTCTTGGGAGATAAATCCTCTGTTCGCATCCTGGGCTGGAGCCACCCTATTATATTATGAAATACAGAAATATGACACGGGGAATAGATCATCCAGAGAAGGAGGGGGTGGGTTAGAGGGGGTGTTCCTTCCAGTGTGGGTGCCGGTTCAGTCCCTCCCTGAGGCTGGGCTAGCCTGGCCCTCCCAGGGTTTGTGTCCTGCACAATCTCTTCATGTGGTCATGAAGCCCAGCCCCAGCCCACCTCTGTGCAGAATCCCAGGAAGGGAATGGCAGCAGGTGGCCACAGAAAGCCGCAGGAGGCAACAGGGCCAGGTTCACTCCCTGCACTGCAACCTCAGGAAACTCACTCCCTGGGCTCCAGTTCCTCATCTACAAAATGAAGGGTTGGATCAGACACCCTGGAAAGGTGCTCCAGTTCTGGCAAGCTGCAGATCTATAACTTAGAGCAAGCTGAGAGAGGCATAGAGTACAGCAGGGGTCATGTGGTGTGGGCTTTAGGGACTATCAGAGTGCCCTCCCACTCTTCCCCTGCAACACCTGGCTCTCTTCCCTCCCAGAGCCTTCCAGACTTCAAGGTCCATTATCATAGGCCAAACACTATGTCTGATTTCCAAAGGCAGAGCAGCTCCAGAGGAGGGGCTGGGGGATCAAAGGATGAGAGAGAGAGAGGAGAGAGAGGAGGGAGAGGAGAGAGAGAGAGAGAGAGAGAGAGAGAGAGAGAGAGAGAGAGAGAGAGAGAGACACAAGTACACACAAAGAAAGCAGGCTCAAAGGTCCACAGAAAAGATCCCTCAGGGCAGCTGGCAGCTCTCCAGTCTGAAGCCCTTAGCTTTATTGCATGGGCCATTGTAAAGCCTGGGGGCACAGGAGCTGGGTGGTCTGAACTTGAATCCTGGCTCTGTCACCTTCTATCCTCCCTGTGCCTCAGTGTCCTTGTCTGTACCATAGATGCAACAACACCACCCATCCCATGTCAAAGAATGGTTTTAAGGATTGAACAAGAATCACCTGGCAGAGTAAGTTAGCATTAAGCCCAGCTTGTGAGACTATCACCTGTCCTTCACTGGATTCTCACAGGCCCTGGGATCCACCTGGACACCTGCATTCCCTAGATGCTGTGTCAGTGTCAGAGTGTCAGAGTACAGCGGGCCACAGGGTCCTACAAACCCAGTTTCAAACCTGAGCTCCATCACATATTAAGCTTTCTGCCTCAGTTTCTTCAACTGAAAATGGAATGATATTAATCACAAACACATGTTAATGTTGCCGAGGGATTTGAAATATGCATTGAGAAGACCTTGTAAAGAGCATGGCAAGGAGTAAGGGCTCTATAAATATTTGTATTATTATGGGCTCCCTTCCCCCAGAGCCTGCATGCCCCAACCTCAGCTCCCCAGCTCCAGAGATCAGACAATTGTAAAAATCATAGCTATCATATTGGCTTCGTTTTCATAAAAACCGGTCCTGGTTTCAAAGTCCCCAGATTGCTAGTGAATTCTGCTCTTCCACCATGTGACCAGCAGAGGAAGGAAGGGCCTCATCCCTGCAGGACACTAAGCCCTTTCCCAGGAGGAGGCCTGGGAAAAGAAGGTCCTCTGGCCCTTTAACCAACCCAGGCTGGTGGATGCTTCTCCTGTGTGGTCTGGGGATGGGACAGGCTGCATGTCTGGGCAGTGGCTTTGGCACCCTCCATGTCTCTTCCAAGACACCTAGTCCCAGGCATGTGGGACAGCCAGGCTCCTTCCTTTTTCCTCCTGCTTCTCAGGGCCTGATATGAGAATGGAGGTCACATGACCTTCATGTGGAAAGCCAGCAAATCCACCATCCTAGAGGAAGAACAGACGATGGAAAAGGAAGGAAGAGAATGGGCTAAGTCCAGAGGGAAACCTCCCCCATTCCCTGGGAGTTAGCTTCCCGCCCTACCTGCTATTATCCAGGTAGAGGACTAGGCCTTGACCCTGGTGTAAGGACCAGCCAGGCTGGAGAGCCACTTGACCTGAGGTACCATCTTCCAGTGCTACCTCTGTTTCCTCCAGCTTCAAGCCTCCTGCTTGTCCCCAGAGGCCACTCGCCCGCCCACCACTGGCCTCCATTGGCCCCAAGCTTAAGCTGCTCAGAAAAGGGGTGAAGACTCGCAGCCCCCAGGCCTCTCACTCTCCATTAAGCAACCCTCGCCATCTGTCACCCCATCACCCTGTTTCCCATCTGTCCAGCTTAAGGCCTAGAGCCTCTAGCACACCTGAGTCATGTGGCAGCCACTTGTCCTAGCCTCTTCTGTGAAGAGCATCCCTTCTGGCTCTAGGGCACAAGGCTGGATGCAGGGTCTGGGGCAAATGGCCCTGTGCAGTGCTATACCTTACCCATACATACAGTCCAAGTGACAATGGGCCCACATGGATCCCCAAGCAGCCATAACCAGGGAAAGCAGAGGGTGATAAAAAAAAAAAAAAAAAAGGGACACAGCAGGTGGAGGAGGTGAGTGGGGAGGGAGAATAGAGGAGGCCCTGTTGCCAGGCAATCAGGGCTGCTCAGGGCCTCTCCAGGCAGTTTGCATATCAATGAGCAGCCCAGATTTAGTACCAGGGTTGGGACACCCACACATTGCATTTCCTCCAGGCTGCCCATATCTGAGGGCTCAGCCTGCTCTCCACTGCCCACTGGGAGGCCTGGTGGCTTTGGAAGGAGCAAAGCAGCCACTGCCACCCACACTAGGCAACTGCCCCAAGGGTATTAATCTGCCCCCACAGTCCAGCCTCCCAGATCACTACTGGGAAACCAGAGAGATAAATGTCTCCTGGGTGACCTCAGGGATCAGTGGGAAGGTGGGTGCACAGGTACATGTAGGCAGACAGGTGAAGGACAGAAACCCAGCCCTGAAGAAATATACCCTGGCATGCTCATTTCTGGGCACATGATATATGTTCTGCATGGTGTGTATGCTGCACATGCACCAGCCAGGGTCCATATTTATGCATGCACATGGACCCCCCAGGAATTGCCATCACAGTCACATGAATCAGCCAGGGCAGCTAGGAGGCTGGAGACTGGCAGCACATTAGCACCCATGGAGCTGGAGGGAGGTCTTGGAGGGAAGCCGTGGCCCCAGAAGCTAGTGACTTGCAATTAATAATTCGCCCCCACCCCCGGGTGATTTGCATGCTAGTGGAGGTTTCTGAAGTCCAAGGTGGGGGGCTCAGTGTCTGAGGTGTATCCCCAGAGCAAGTTCAGTGAGGGGAAGAGACTAAGGAGGGGGAGGCGAGGGGCACAGGGCTAGAAGGGGCGGGAGAGTGGGCTGTGAGGAGAATCAGCAAATGATAGAATGTTCCACCTGGAAGATACCTTCAAGGCCACCAAGTCCCAAGGCTTCATTTGCATATGAGAAAAGTGCCAATCAGGGGAGATTTATAAAAGAGAAATGAAGCAAAAGAAAAGAAAGAAGACAGGAGAGGTGAAAAGATCAAGAAGAAAAGAGGCAAGGAGAAAACCCGGGTACAGATCGGGTAGCCCTGGGGCTCGCCTTCTCCTTGCCTTCTCCTTTGTTTAATGAACACATCTCCCTTTTTCTCTAATTAGGTGAAACAAACAACTTGAACCAGAATTTGTATTTCCCAGAAAGCACACGCCAGGACACAGTAAATATGTCATTAATCATCATTCCCAGGCAGAGGAGCAGCTGGGCTGGAGAGGAGGGAAAGCAGTCAGAGGACCTAATTAGAGCCCAGCCTCCCTGCCCCCTCCCACTGGCACCCACACACAGGCTCCCTGTCACCACGCCCAGAGTCCAGCAACTGGAGGTGGGGGTCCCCAGGCAGAGTCAAAGTTATATAAATATCCCTTGTTAGCACCTCAGAAGAAAGGAGGTGAGAAGAACAATGCAGTCCCCTCCTCCGCTCCTCCCCTCACCCCACCCCCAGGTCTTATTCTCATCCAGGAAATTGTTCTTATTATCACTTAGCTATTTATAGTCACAGTGAGGTTTGCTGAACAGCCCCAAGCCAGCCTGGTGCTGTGGTGCTGGCTCTAGCTGGGGGATAAATTATATGCCCTCCAGACATTTTTTGGACCTCAGTCAAGCACCCTGGCTCAGAGGCCGACCTGAAGACTCTGGCCCTGTGGGCTATTTGGCCTGATCCCTTTGTCTGCTAGGACTGGCCACATCCTTCTCCTCTGGTCCCTGTGCCCAGGACCAGTGCCTCCTAGTAAAGAAAGTGCTGAGTCCTCAGGCCACCAAGGCCTGGCTGGTGTGCAGTATAGGAGAAAGTCCAGAGCTACTGCCCTGTGGCTCTCCCTAGAATGTCATAGTCTGGCTTGGCCCAAAGCAGGATGTGTTGTTTTGTTGTTGTTGCTTTTGTTGTTGTTTAATTTTGAAATCAGGGTCTCAATAGGTTAACCCAGGCTGGCCTCAAATTTGAGATCCTCCTGCCTCAGCCTCCCAAGTTGTTGGGATTGCAGGAATGCACCACTATACCCAGTGATGCATTGATCTAGGCTGAGGCTCAGGCTAGGTTCTCCTTGTCCCAGAAGTCACAAGCTTTGCCCCGTGTTGAGAAGGATCACCCCAAGCTGAGACTAGATTCCAGCAGCCCACAGATTTCTGCTAGTTACCTCAGTAGCCATTCTCCTCCAGAGTACTGAATCAGTAATTGTTTCCACCTGCAAGGCCCAAGTTATAGGAACTGACCTCTGGCATCTCAGGAGGCTGGATGGGGTCACTCATTCTGAAATACCAGTCTACACTCTGCCCAGTAAGTTCCTCTTGCTCAGTTTTCTCTTGCAAAATAAAGATAATGCTCTTGAGAATGAGAAGCAACCCCATTGTTATTTCTTGGGAGGTTTTGAGGAAGTAGAGTCATCTATTCCCTGGCCCCAACTGGGGCAAAGCACGGCTGCTTCCAGTACCTCTTCCAAAGTGAAGTCCCTCCCAGGATGAGACAGAAAGTCTTCAAAAGATGAACAGACTCCAGTTTCTACCCTCCCACCCAGACACCCTCCCCAGCATGTGACTCCCTTAATGGGCCCCAAACTGATGGGGAGGTAGCTAGAAAGGGGAACAGGGGAGGGCAGAAGGTAGCAGCCCTGATGAGAGAACTAGGGACAGAATGGCATTTTGATCCAGTAGGAAACAGCAATGGCCCCAGAAGAGTGGGGACCAATGGCTTTAGGACTTGTCTTGGTTTCCAAGAGCTTCCATAACAAAGCACCACACTCTGGTGCTTAAAACAGCAGTGCTTTGTTCTCTCACAGCTGTGGAGGCCAACAAGTCAGAAATCTGAGGTGGCGGCAGGCTGTCCTGCCTTTCAAGTATCTAGAGAAGAAGGCTGTCTGTCTCATCCAGCCCTGGCGGCTCCTCTTACATGTGGCAGCATCATTCCGATCTCTGCCTCTGTCTTCACATGGTTGCCTCTGATTCTGTGTCATCTGCTCCTCTCAAAAGGACAGTCATTGGATTTAGGGAGGACCCTCCCTAAACCCAGGAGGATCTCATCTCCAAACCTTAGAGATTAATAAGTACTTAACTAATCTGCAAAGCCCTATTTCCACATGGGATCGTGTAAGTTTCTGGGTAGACATGAATTTGGGGATACAGTTCAACCCACTGCATGACCCTAGTCTTTATGTCACTACCAACATAAAGTATGAGTTTAGTCAAGTCCTGTCTCCTCTGTTAATTTCACCTGTTTCCTCCCCAGTCAGATGGAAAATAATGATATCTGTCCTGCTATGATTTGGTGGAGGCTCTAATGAGATAGGGAAGGGAAATGGTTTGAAAAGACAAAAGGGAAATAATTAAAAGTGGATGTGCATTGATTCTGCCTACATCCCTACCCTGCTCTGCCCTTGCCTCCATGCCCCCAGTCGCATCCCCTTCTGCAGACCGCAACCTTTCAGGGGCCACAAGCAGCCGCCCATTGCAAACTACCTCCTTGCTTTTCGCACAGACCCAAGACTCACCCTGACACCAGAGGCAAAATAGATGTCAGTTCATTTCTACATAAAACCTACTTGAAGCCTGATTTCCATTAGCCCCAGCCTGATTTCTTTTGTGCTTTTAGCTTACAAGTCCAGGCCGATTTTCATGCATGATAATAATATTTCTAGTTGCTTTTTCCTTCCACACCCCAGCACTCATGCCAGGGAACCAAGAGTAACCTCACCCCCAGCTCTGCAGAGAGACTGAAACCCTGGTCTCCTGAGCTGACCTACACACCCACACACTCCATCACTGCTCTCTCTTCTCCTCTCTGAGCTGGGCCCTGAGCCACCCAGGCCAACACAGCCCAGTGACATGGGGCCTTCTGTCCCTTTTCCCCCTCCTCTTCCAGACCCTGCTTCGTGATGGCAAGCGTGAGAGCATCGTCAGCACCCTCTTCATCTCCCCTGGTGATGTAGAGAATGGACAGAGTATCGTGTGCCGTGCCACCAACAAAGCCATCCCTGGGGGGAAGGAGACTTCAGTCACCATCGACATCCAGCGTGAGTACTGACCAGCCCCACCTGGCCTGGCCAGGCCCGGGATGGGAAATATCTTGTACCCCTGCCCACAGCTGGGGCCATCTGAAGGCAGAGGATGGGCCAGACAGCTCTGTGGATTGGCCAGTTTGTGTGAATGGGCACAAAGGACTATCTTGTTCTTATTGTCATGTGAAGCACAGATGAGAGTCCTCTGCAGAGGGCATCTTCGAGTCACTTTCACATTATATGTCCACGTCAACAAACTGTCAGCAGCTGGCCCCACTGGCCTGCTGGAAAGGGAGCCAAGGCCAAGATGCTGGGAGCTGACAGGCACTCAGGGTCCAGAATGGGTCATAGCCATGTGCCCTGGAGAGGGTCTACAGAGCCGCTCTCATGCAAGGGTTGGTCAAGGGGATAAGAGGAAGAGGAAGAAGGATGGGTGTTCATTCAGCTCATGCTTTACATGCATTGTCTCCTTTAGTCCTTACAACAGCACTTGGAGGAAATATGATTGTGGTCCCTAACTGGGGAGAGTGAGGCATCAAAAGGTTGGTTAATTTTCCCAAGGCCACAGAGGGGGACAGGCACCTGAGCTTTCCAGAGCCCACCCTGATAGCCCAAATTCTATACTCTGAGTCAGCCTTCAGCAGGTATGGCTATTACCGTTGATATCAACAATCACATGCTGTTAAGATCCACCGGCATCACATCCCAAAAGCCACCTAAAGGAGACCCCTAAATGTCCCCTAAAAAATCCCCCTAAAGTGCCTGTAAGCCCCGGGAGCTCGACAAGGCCTTTCTCACAGGACCAGTATAGGGTAGGTTTAAAGTATCATCCCTCAAAGGTGGACTTCTCCCCTCTCAGATCCCTCTCTGCCATGGAACATAATGCCACTACATGCTGGTGACCTAGCCATAGTTGGTCATAGACTCTGAGTGACATGGCTGGAGTTGTAGGGTGGCATTCATGGTCTCCTCAGCACTTCACTCATTTTTGAAGAAATGCTTTACAACACTTCCTAACAGCCCTGACTTGTCTAAGGGTTCTTGACTCTGAGCATCATGTGGCTCCCCAGGGATGTGGAGTCCACAAGAGCTGTGCCTTAGGATTTCTAGAGCCTATCTTGGCATCCAGAGAGCAGAAGTTCCTCCCTCACTGCCAGCATCCTGACCCCATTTAGATTCCAGAGAGAGAAAGAAATGGTTATAAACATCAGGAAGGTCCCAATGCCTGGAGAGAATGGTGGAGTTCTTGGGAAGGCTTATCTTCACTATCTTGCCAGCAACTAAAAATCCCCTTGACCCCACAATGCACACCCCAGGGCTACTTCTTCCAGTTACTCTTCATTAATGAGAGTAGAGAGCAGCAGAGCTCTTGCTGAGCCTAAGGCAGGAAGCTAGAGGGAGGTGCCTAGAGCACAAAATTTAAGAAGGCCTCCCTTGATGGTGTAAGTACAGAGTGGGTCCTGAGAGGGAGGGCCTCCTTCAATTTTGCACCTGAGGTTCCTCCATTTCTTGGCCCTAGTCCTGCCCTGGCTCTCAACACCACCTGCTTCTGTCCCAGTGAACTGGGGTTTGGAGCACAGGCCCAGCTCTGAGAGGAGGCAAGATGCTCTTGGGCTGGACAGTGTGACAGCCAGAACAGCTCCACCACTCCCGAGCTTGGCAGGCCTGAGCTTGTCAATCTTCACATCCCACCCCCAACTCTGGTTTCTTGTCTGATCTGACCAATGATGTCTCTAGGATTGACCATGAAGAAGAGCTCGCTCTCTCTAGACAAAAGCCAGATCTGGGGGAGGCACAAGGTATCCAAGCCCCCGAATATCTGTGGCCACTTCATGGAGCCCCTGATCTCCTTCCCCCAATCCTGGGCAGGAGACCTATACCAGCTACAGAATCCCATACAAAACCGACAACCTAGCTGACTCTCCCAGGACAGCAGCCAGGACCCTGGCAGGGAAGGGGGGAAGTAGCAGTGTTTCTGCTCCAGGCCACTCTCCATCACCCAGAAGAACCTCTCCCAGCAACAAGAGAGTCATCATAGTAATAGCCCACCCGGCTATTCAAAGACATCCTCTAGATGCACTCCAGCAAGAAGATCAATTTACCAGGCTGCACATGCTCTGGGGTCTGTATCAAGATGTCAAGGGCCTCTCCAGGTCTCTGGGCCCTGCCTGACTTTGCTTCCAAGGACATCTCAACTGTATCAGGAGGGAGGCATCATGATTGAGGTCAGGCTCAGAACCCTGGTCTCCGGTTTCCTGGAAGGACCCATCCAAAGCAGCACAGGGTAGTCGTTAAGGCTTGGCATTCTTCCTGGTTTGAATACTGAATCTGCCACTTACTGAGTGACACTCACCTGGTTAGTTATTCACTGTGCCTCAGTTTTCCTATTCATACATGGCGGTAGTCAGACTTACCTCCTGAGGTTGCAGTGAGAATTTCATTAAATCACTTACGTCAGCCCCTAGCACCATGCCTAACTCATTAGGAGCATTGTAGCCAATGCATTAGGACAAACAGCCACAGGTACATGGCAGCCACTCCCCAGGGAGCCCCCCCCAGCCCTAACAGGGGACAGGCCTTTATCCATTTGCCCCTGGACTCCATCTCCCATAACCAGAAGGTGTTTATAAGTGCCTGCCAAGCAAAAGCACAGCCTCTCCCTCAGCTCCCTCCGCCTCCTCCTTCCTCCTCCATTGATTCATTTGTTCATTCTGTAAGCGTCCGACTGTTTGCCGTGGACACCGTGGGCTGGATCAGAGCCGCCTGTGCAAACCTGCTCATTTTCTCAGTCAACCAAGAAGCATCCAGACTCAGCAAAAGCACATTTGTTGTTTGTTTCCCTTGGTCTTTATATGTTACCCAACGGAAGACAAAGCCCCCAGATTGAGTAATGGGAGAGAAAGCTTAACACTCCCAAAGCCTCGCCACATCTGGACTCCATGTCCAGCTGCCAAGTTTCAAATGGATGTGCTATAAAATCACTGAGTCATGAAGTTTCTCTTTCCCGCCCCCTCCTCCGTGTAATACTTTCCCTGAAAACACACACATACCCACATACACACACGCACGCAGGTTGATGATAGAAACACTAACAGACTCTCAGCTGTAACATCTGTTCAATGTGATCTCAGTTCCACTAGCTACATCAAAGCTGCCCTCCTGCAAGTTATGCAGCCGACATCACAAGTGGGATTAAAATCATGTTTAATAGTTGGATATGACATAAACTATTTATACTTCGGGAGCTTGGCAGACTCCTGGAAATTCATATCCTGCACATCCAGAGGAGACGGGAGAGGAATGGAGAAGGCATCTCTGAGTCTGGAGTGGAGGTGTGCAGGTAAAACTGATGTGTGTGTGTGGAGCCCTCCTGGGACTGCTCTCCTGAGGCTCTTCAGGACAGGCTGGGGACTAAACATATTGCAGAAAGGAAGGGAGAAAACAGAAGAGAGGCCTCCACGGGCTAAACTGATAATGGCAGGTGTGTGGTGGAGCATCAGGCAGAAAGAAGGGTCCTCCAATAGGTGGGCTCCATTCCCCTGCCTCCCAAGAACCCAACACTTTGTAAAGGACACTTAGCTAAGGGATGGGCCTTCTATCCCTCAAATTTCTCCCCTAATTCTATGGTGGGTTCCTAGATTCTATTGAAATGACACCTTCACTTCCTCAAACAAAAGCTGGTTTCACAGTATTGGAATTCATCATGTGAGGACACGGGCCAGCTGCATATTGGGTCCAAATGACAATCACCAAACCCCTATGCCTCCAGACATGCTTCTCCACAGCAAGGTGCAACCTCCCCTCTGGGTCTCCACAGGTGATCAGCTTAGCCACCAGCCCTGCATGGAAAGAGGGTCAGCTGCCTGATTCAGCCTTGCTCTCGAAGCTGGTAGGCAGCAGCTGGGGAGAGGATGTAGGATTGTCTAGGTGGGTGGGCGAGGGTCCTGGGAGGTAGAAGGAGAGTTCTCATGGCTATTCCTTGCCAGATACATCTTTGTGACCATTTGCATTATTGGTTGAAATAGCCACCTGTGTTAGTTAGCTTTCCACCACTAAAAGAAATACCTGGGATAATCAACTTATAAAAAGGAAACGTTGATTTTGTATCAGAGTTTTGGAGGTTCCAGTCCACGGTTTATTGACCCTGTTGTTTTGGGTATGTGGCAAGGTAGCATATCATGGCAGGAGAGTATGGTGGAGCAAGATGGCTCACCTCATAACCAGGAAGCGAAAGAGAGAAAGAGGAAGAGACCAGGATCCCACAGCATTCCCCACCCCCGCCAAAAGCACATGCTCAATGATTGAAATACCTCCCACTAGGGCCCGCCTCTCAAGGTTTCCACCACCTCCCAACAGTGCCTTGTAATTGCCCACAAAAAAGGTAGCAGACCAGCTGCTCCTGCACCAGATGCTTCCCAGTTATGTAGTTCCCATCCTGAACTAGGAGATATTATGAGAATAGGCTTCCAACATAGGTAACTACCCACTGCTCAGATCATGGAGTTCTTTCCCCAGCATCTGCAGATCCTAACAAGTCCAGTGGACACCTCACAGGCCAACGTCTATGTTCCCACACTGGCAGTGAAACATGGCACTAGCATGCATGGGGGTCAGTAGTCCTGACCTCACCTCCAGCCTTATTCCGCAGCTACAGGGTCTCAGAACCTCACCTGCCTCAACTAGGTGCCCACACCCAGTGGCCACAGTCTTTTTCCCTGTGCCTCTTTTCACAGGGAATCAGAGTGATCAGTATTTTTCTTGATGGCCTCTACAGAACTGGCTTCCTTACTTCTTTTTCTGGGCTGAAACCCCTAGCAAACCCTCATGACCTTTCACAATTTGCTTTGCGTGCCGGTGGGGAGCAGCCCAGGGTGCTGGCTAGCACGTGGGAACTGAAGTGCCCTTTAAGTCAGCCTAAAGTTGAAAGCCAGCCTGGCCTCCAGGCCGTGACAAGGGAGAGGGTCGAGCACTGGATCATGGCCTCCTCTCCCCTGGGGTGCAGATGACACGGGGGCAGAGTCTGGAGCTATGGGATCCCAGCAGCAGGGTGACCCAGTCGAGAGCAGCTGCCCCTGAGCAGGGCAGGGCCAGGCTGACATGAGGCCATTTGTGGGCTGGTCTCCACCTCTCTTCCTCTCTGCTGAAGACCCCTCAAACTCTATTCCCATTTTTCCACCTCTCAAGTCTGTTTTTCCCTCTCCCTTTTCTCTATTTCTTGTTATTTTGTTTGGAGTTTCTCCTAACACCCTGTCATTTTCTGTCTCCGCCTGCTGGGTCTCCCTTTGTCTTTTCTGCTTTCAGTGTGAAATTTTCCTGTGATTATGCATCGCTGCAAATATGTCTGTCTGTCTCTGCCCATCTCTCTGCTTCTCTAGGTTTCTGTCTCCTTTTTTTACTCTTCTGCATTTCTCAATCCGTGTCTGTCAGTCTGTTGGTCCACCCATGTCTCTGTCTCTCTCCCTCATCTTTGTACCCATCCCTCTCTTTCCTCTCCCTCATCTCTGTACCTATCTCTCTTCCTCTCTCATCCCTCCTCTCTGTTTCTGTCTGTCTGTCCCTCTCTGTAGTCTCTCCCAGGTCTCTGTTACCCTCTGTGTCTCTGTCTCTCCAACATGTCCATGCCACTCTGCTTTCCTCCCAAACCATCTGTGTAGATCTCACTGTGTCTTGCTGTTGCTGGTTCCTGTCTTCCTGTCTCTCTCCCTCTCTCTCTTACTTTCTGTCTCCTCCACCTCCCACCATTTAGCACTTCAGAGTTTGGCTTCTTATCGTGTCAAATGAGAAAACTGTAGCCCCAGCCCTGGGAGCTGAGGGACTGGTGACACCAGTCAGGACTCAGTGGAGATGATCATGCTGATGAAAGGCTGTAAATGCCACTTTCAAGTTACCAGATGCCCCAGAACCTTCACACAGAGAGAAACAAACAGACATTTCAAAGACAGGAAGCTGGTACTGAAATGGAGCTGGGGGTCCACACTCCCCCAAACCCTGCACCTGCTTCTCCTCTGCTTCCTGAAGTGTTTTGTTCTGTCCAGAAGCTGGAGGCTGGACAGAATGCTCCTGAGACCCAAACAATGGCAGCTCCCCAAGGGACATTCACTTCAATAGCAGGCCTTGAATCCACAGAGGGGCCAAGGTCCCCCCAGGACTCTTGAGGTTTGCACCTCCAGGGAGCAGGAGCCTCCTGCTGAGCCCCTCTTTCTGAAGACCTCAAGCATGGTGGCTATTCTGAGGGCGCCATATGGTGGCATCTCTGGCCTTAACCTCCTCGTGTTCCAGAGGGTCTTTCTGCCCTAAAATTCCACGCCCCCCCTCTGCCCCGTCTACAAGAGAATCTCTTCTCCCTGCAGACCCCCCACTTGTCAACCTGTCAGTGGAACCGCAACCGGTGCTGGAGGACAACGTCGTCACATTCCACTGCTCTGCAAAGGCCAACCCAGCTGTCACCCAGTACAGGTGAGCATCACTGCGGTGGAGGCACAGCCTGACCTCAACCCCCCACCCCGTGCCTGTCACGTAGGATGTCACTTATCGTCCATGCATGGCTACCATGAGTGATTCACTGCAGGTGTCCAGATAGCCTTGTAATCAAATAACCCCCACACCCACCCACCTGCTGGCCAGGTGGACTCTTCCCTTCCTTCATGCGGCACGCATGCCTCTTCCACAGGAGGCAGGATACTGTGCCCCTCTTGTTCCAACAGCTTGGTTACTCGGTATTTCTGAAAAGAAGGAAAAAGGCTCAGGAACAAAAGTTAAAACACACCAGAAGAGTCAGGAGAGTCACTAGACTCTGTTTGACTGCTCAGGGTTCAGTGGGAGCCTCAAAACCCATGTGTTCTTGCCACAACATTGATAAAACCATCACTGTTTTTGTTTTTTTGGGGTTTTTTTTAGTATTAGGGATTGAACACAGGAGACTTTTTACCCTAAGCTACATCCCCAGCCCTTTTTATTTTGAAACAGGATCTCACTCACTTGTATCTTTGCCTCTTAACAGAGCTTCTTAAAGGCAAGAACTGCAATTTAGTCACTTATGGCTCTCAGCATGTAACACAGCGCATGGCATCAAACTAGGGCTCCTTATGTGCATCTGATGGATGCGATCTCTGAAGGCCCAGAGCTGCTCCTCTGGGAGCCTCCCCACCTATGTGCATCGCCACACAGGATTCCAGAAACTAAGTGATCTGAGAGTTTCTCAAATGCAGGCTGAGGATACTTACCTCACCTCCTTTGGATGTTCCTTTGTGATACTCACCAACGCCCTAACTTGGCCCTGTCCTTTCCCACCAGCCCGGGCTCCATGGCAGGGCCCAGGGCATCACTTCTGCATGGATTCGGTCATTAAGCTGCAGCCTCAGAAAATGCCAAGGAGGATAATGGTCTCAGTCTAGGAAAGCAGCCGGCCTTAGGAAGTGGAGGACTGGGGAGACAGGAGGCAACACAGCCCCAGCAGGCACAAGGGAAGGAAATGGGTCAAAGAGGCAGCGGAGACTCAGGTTGCACATAAGGAACAGCTCCCTGCAGCGTGGATAATTAAGCAGCCTGGGAACAAGGAACCCAGGAAGGACATGAACCTTTCCCTAAGGACATTTTAAAATAGGATGAAAACCCATCTGCCCCACCTGATTTAACCCTTCCCTACCCTGGATGCAGTAAGATCAGGTGACCTTCAGGGTCCCTTCCAAGCCAAGGACCCCTGGCTCCCGGAAATTGTGCAACCCATTCAGGTCCAGCAGGCAGGTCTGATATGGCTAGGGTCTGGCGTCTGTCCAGAAGTGACTTAAAGATCCAGAAGGAAAAACCAAGACTCCTTCTCTCTGAACTGTCACCCCAGGCCTGCTGGGCCTGGGCTGCTCTCCTCTGTCTGCTCCCATCCCTGAGTTCATGGTCCTCAAATACCAGGTGTGACATGCCCAGAAAACTCTGCTAATGCCAGTTTCCCAGGGCAGCCCCTGTCACCTAGAGAGCCCCCACCCAGGACCTACCCCTGCCCCATTCACCTTCACAACCGGACCCCAAATGACTGCTGAATCCCAGAGACAGGGACAGACAGATTCCAATTTCCACTTCTTGTCACTGCCAAGATCCCGGTCATCTGAGTACTTAGTGATCAGAGACTGGACACACAGCAGGATAAGACCCAGAAGATAGAGCCTCTGCCAGCAGGCCACCCCACACCGTGGCAGGTTATGCAAATGTGCAGGAAAGGAGGCTGCTGAACCTGACTGCCAGGGCCACCCACTTAAAAAAACAGCAAGAAGACCAATGATAATAAGGACAAGGTCATTATAAAGCACATGTGGTCAATCGTGAAAACTCGTGAATCTAGGCAAAGAAAAGATGGCAGTTAACGGGGCTATATTGCAACTCTTCTCTCATTTTGAAAGTTGGGATTTTTTTCAAATAAAAAGTTAATAAACACACAGAGAACATACAGGTTTCCCTAGACACTAGGATCCTGTGGGATTCCCTTCCTCTCTGTCCCACTCTGGAGCTCAGGGAACCCCAAGCGAGACCCTCCTGCATAAAGGAGCCCTGAGGAGCAGGAGGGGCACTAGTTCTTATTCATCACTGTCCATCATGATTAGCCAAGGGCCCTGAAAACGTGTTAGTGCAGGCTTGGGCTCCCTCCAGGATTCCAGAGGCTTTGGGGGAGCCCTCTGGCACCCAGGAAAAGGCAGGAGAGTCCGGGTAGGCTGAGCTGCAAAACAAAGGAGATGGAAGGGCTGTGGAGAGAGGAGGCTGCGGGCACCTGCAGGCACCCGAGCCCACCCACACCTGCTCAGCCCCTCCCCACCCCCACAAGACCTCACCAAATTCTCCTTCTAGATGCAGCGTTGGAACCCAGGGGGAAAAGCCTTAAGCAAATCCCATCACATAAGCACATTGATTTTTCCCAACTGACTTTGACACGATTACAGGGATCTTTGTTTCTTTATTTTGATTCGTCTTGATTGCTTCCTCTCTGGTCTACCTAAAAGGCTGTAACCTCTGAAATTAGAGATTGGCCCTCCCCCATGCCAACATCCCAAAAGGGGCACGGCTGGGCAGAGAGGCTGTTATTTCAGCTGCCCCCAGGGACCTGGGGCGAGAGGTGCTGTGGGCTTTTTCTTTGGAAGGTTTTTCTGTGTGTCTCCAGCAGACAGCAGGATGGGGGTGCTGGCACTGCCCAGACGAAGCGCAGGGCTGTTCAATGCTCCAGTGTGAGGGCTGTGACATGCCAGGCCTCCTGATTCTGTGATATAAATAATTAATCCTCTTACATTTGTTCAGACCAAATTAGACATTGATTGGGAAAGGCTTAAGCTGACTCCATTTCAGAGGGGCTGGGAGAGGCGGTAGAAGTAACAGCAGATGCACTAGAATGTTCTGACCCCCAAGAGGAAGAGGAGCCACAGACCAACAAGAGGAAAGGGAAGAGATGAGAGGGGGTAGAGGCTCTTTGGTTTCCAGCCCCATGCTATGGCTGGAGTGCAGTGGTTAGAGCCTTTGGGCTTGTGAAAAGGCCCCTCAGAGGGCTGTTTAGTGTGGGAGGGAAGAAGAGTGGGAGGAAAGACTGGCTGGACAGGCTGAGCAAGATGGGAGCAGAGGTCTCTGGTGGAGTGGAGGGAGGGGTACCGCCTCAAAAGGCCCTGGCCTTGGGTTCCTGAGGATCCTACCCCCACAGCCAGCTCCTGCTACAGCTCTGAGAGAGCCCCCTCCCTAAGGGCCCCAGTCAGAAAAGGCCTAACTTCTCCCAGAGGCCCTGGGGAAGAAAAACACCTGGGCCTGCCCATTAGACCCAGTAATCCTGGCCCCAAGCCAGCCCCAGCCTCAGCCCCAGTCCCCTGGTGCTGAAAGCAGCCAGGAGCAGGGGCCTGACTTGGGTAGAGCAGAGCTTCTTCCTGCCCTCCCCACTGCTCCAACCCCCTCGCTTCAGCCGAGTAGAAGAAATAGGGTCTGGACACAGATCCCCGACTGTGTGTCTGAAACTGAATTAATCCACCTCAGGCAGGGGCCGTGCCTGACTATTAAGTCTGGTCATTAAATTAAACTTAGGAATTGAAACGATTCATGAATAACTCATAATGGTTTGTTGGGAAGCTCCTTAAGCTCTCAGGGAGCTATGCTTTGCTCTTGTTGTTAAACCATAATTGTTATTATTAATCGTGTTCTTAATAATTACCCGATATTAATTCAAGATAACAACCGTGTGGTGCCAGCCTAGGTGTCCCATGGGATGCACAGAAGTAGTGTCTTTCGGGACTAGACCAGACTGGGCCAAGAACTGATGGAGGGGAGGGAGGAGATGGGACTCAGTAGTACCAGGAAAGATCCAAGAGCACAGGAAGGGGAAGAGAGCAGCCAGCAGCCACAGGGGAGCCGTGGCTGTAGGGCACCAAGGTGGAGGCTGAGCAGCCTCTCCAGCTTCAGAAAGACACAGCCCTAAAGCTGCCTTGAGCTACAATAGGAGGAACCTGGTTAGAAATTCTGTGATTTCAAAGAGAGGGACTGCTATCCTCAATAGGATTGATTATACCAGGAAAGCGGTGAGCTCTCTCTCCTTGGAGATCTGCAAGGAAAGGTCCCACCTTCACACACGTGCACACGCACACACATGTACATGCTCATACCCACGTGCAAAGGCTCACATGCACACACATTCTCGATGCATGCAAGCACCCTTACGGGGCTGCAGCTCTGCAGACACATGGAAGGGACCTGGTAGCTGGTCCAATGCAGCAATTGCCATCCCAGGGTCAGTCAGAACCAAGCCAAGCCTAAGGCTTTTCGGTCTCTGCCACCTCCATTCCCTGCGGTACTGATTGGCATCTGAGAGAAACCTCCTGTCTTCCCCCCCACTATGAATCAGGGTTGATGGAGATGTGACCTTGTAATAATAAAGGCAGGTGAGAGAGCAGAGGCTGCGGAGGAATCGGAGCAAGCGCCAACCCTGGGAGAGGTTGAATGGACTTCCAGGGAGAGCAGGAGCACCAGAAGGGCCCTGCCCTGAGAGCAGGAGTCAGGACTGAGAGCTGAGAGAGGGGGGCATGTGGGAAGAGAGGGACAGGCAGGCACCTCACACCCCTCCCACATCTCACTGTGCTTGAAAACCAAACTTCCTGGGGCCTCGGTTTTCTCTGTGTGTGTAGGGACATGTGTGTCCACATGCACACTGGTACATAGGCATGTAATCACTAGACCTTGAACTCCCAGGGCATAGATTCATACCCCTTTTCCAATGTTTCCCAGGGTAGGGCCTATGACAGAGCTCAGAGCAGAACATCCAGGCTATTTGGTGTCCAACAGTTGGGTTGTCCATGGTCTAGCCAGGCAGATGGGCTGGCCAGCCGGATAACCAAGATACCTCCCTCCCGAATAACCCACTTGTCAAATGCCACTGACTATGGCCCCAAAGCCCACCGCCTGCATGACCTATGGGAGGGTACAAGTCCAACTCCTCCTGAGCCTTTGAAATAACCCCTGTGCAGAGACAGCCCCTGAGAGAGCTGCTTTCTTGTGGGATGGGGGCATCCAGCTCCCTGAGGGACGGCCTTGCATTCGAGATGCACCCAGCACCCTGGCCTCTGTTGCAGATGGGCCAAGAGGGGCCAGATCATCAAGGAGGCCTCTGGGGAGGTGTATAGAACCACCGTGGACTACACGTACTTCTCAGAGCCTGTGTCCTGCGAGGTGACCAATGCCCTGGGCAGCACCAACCTCAGCCGCACAGTGGACGTCTATTGTGAGTACAGAAATTGGGAGCTTCTCTGAATGAGCAGAACTGGGTAGTCTCTGGCCGGAGGAACCATGGCTGGATTCATTGCATGCAACACAAACATCATGCTTCCCAAGCGTACAGTGCATTGTACTTTGCAAAAAGCTTCCTTGTCTAGGGTTTCATGCTTATTTTGATCTTCAGAATGACCCAGCTCAGACTGCTATAACAAATTACCATAGTCTGGATGACTTAAACAACAGAAACCAGAGTGCCAGTGTGGTTGGTTCTGGTGAGGGCTCCCTTCCTGGCTTACAAACAGCTGCCTTCTCACCTGTTATCACCTGGCACAGAGAGGGAAAGGGACCAAGCTCTCTTCTGTTCCTTCTTAGTTGTTGTTGTTGTTGTTTATTTATTTTCTCAGTATTGAGGATTGAACCCAAGGGCACTCTACCTCTGAGCTACACCCCCAGACCCATTTTTTTTTTTTAATTTTGAGACACAGTCTTACTAGGTTGCCAGGCTGACTTTACGCCTGTGATCCTCCTGCCCCAACCTCCTAAATAGCTGGGAATACAGGTGTGTGCCACAGCACATGGCTTCAAGCACATTTTCTAGGGATGGTACTGCCTACTTCTTGTGGACCTAAGAAAGGCTGAGTGTGGGGGACAGGGGTCTCCTTCTCACTTCCCAATCCCAGACCCCAGGTCCAGCCCAGGTAGAAGGGTAAAGGAATGGGCCCAGTGGATTGAGATGGCCCAATAACCTGCTCTTTCCTTTCCTCCTGTCACAATGCTGGGGGCAGCAGGAGGGTTGCGGGAGCTCCCCAGCCCACCTGACGCCTCTCTTCTTCTTCCTCCCCATCATAGTTGGACCCAGGATGACCACAGAGCCCCAGTCCCTGCTCGTGGATCTGGGCTCTGATGCAGTCTTCAGCTGCGCCTGGATTGGCAACCCGTCCCTCACCATCGTATGGATGAAGCGGGGCTCTGGCGTGGTGAGTCCACCACGCTGACCCCAGGGGACCTCTGGCAGGGTGGGGGCATAGTAGGACAGGAGGGCCCCTCTCACAGTTAGGTGAAGAGAGTCAGCCTCCAGAAGAGGATCCCATAAAGAGGAGAGGGAACCCAGATGCCCACCTGTACCCATCTCACCCTGAACACATTCAGCTTTTGCAATTTTGCCCTATGGTCAACCTTATAAAAGCAGGTAGTCAGTAATATGGAGTTTGGGGGAAGTCACTTAAAAGACTTTTCAGTTCTCTCCCAGCCCAAAATGTTACCCCTAACCTTGGAGTTACCCTTTGCTTTCTTCCTGGGGTCTTCTTTTGAAATGTATGTATTCTATAGTGTTCATGAGTTTGCCAGACGACCCTCCACAGGGGCAGCAGTGAGGGCCTTGAGTAAGAAAGGAGAGGGAGACAGAAGGAACTAAGCCTCTGAGATGGCCAGTAACTGACCAGAGCCACACGGGTATTAGCTGCCAGAGCCAGGTCTCAATCACTGACCTATCTAATGCCAAAGTCTACTTTCCTGTCATCGCCCCAAACTGTGTCCCAAAGGGATACTGAACCTGACTCAGACAACACAGGTCCAGGACCCTCCACCATTCAGCCACAGGGTAATCTCATCCATGGCCAGCCTGGGAGAGGATGAGCCATTGAAGGTAGAGGATGGTCAGCATCCCCTCTCTCTGGAAAGCTGGGGGTACCCAGCCAGGGAGTCCTCCCTCCACACACTGCCCACAGGGCTGCACCTGGACGTACTGCAGCAGCGTCTCTGTGTAGGTGGGGGCTGCTCTCCACATCCACAGGGCCCAGTCTGCCTACTGCCTTCCCACCTGGGCTTTTACCAGGACACTGTCGCCTACTCACTACCAGGCCTGCCTCTCAGCCACCAGGATGAGAGACAAAAAGAGTGAATCCTCACCCCCCGCCCCTGCTCTTTGTGTCTGACCCTCCCCCATTTTTCTAGGTTCTCAGCAATGAGAAGACCCTGACACTCAAATCTGTCCGCCAGGAGGATGCTGGGAAGTATGTGTGCCGGGCTGTGGTGCCCCGGGTAGGAGCTGGGGAGCGCGAGGTGACCCTGACTGTCAATGGTAAGACCCCCCAGGAGGATGGGCTGGGGCGGAGGGTGCACCAGGCATTGCCCCAAAGAGACTGTCACTGGCTCTGGGCCTTGCTACCACCTCCAGCTATGGTCCTTAGTAGTTATGTCTGCCCCTTTTGGAGTCCTGGTCAGAGCCAAGGTTGGAGGTGAAGAAGAACCTGGGGCGTTTTCTGATCACGTCTCTCCTTTTTGTTATGTTTAAAGGGGTCTCATAGCAGCTGATGATTTTTTATCCTGGACAGGAAAAGAGTCAGAGGTCACCCTTGTGACCATATCCCTTGTCTGCCCTTTGATCTTGACCTGGCCATGGGGAGTTTAAAGGCACATCCCCCACTTTTATGGCCAGACTCTTCCCATCACACAGAGCCACTCAGCCGTGGAGAGCTGTCACCACCCCAGGGACCAGGTGTGTAGGGTCCTCTTGAAGGCGAGGAACATGTCTTACTATACACAACGATAATAATGACAGCAGGACAGTGTTGTAATAGTGGGAGTCTGTCAATAGCTATGGTAGAGGGGCAGGATCTTCAGATCAGATCTGGATGCCAATGTGGGTGGCCATAGAGAAGCTGGGACCTAGCCCAGGCCAGATCCAAGAAGGTGTGGTGCCAAAACAGAAACCCCAATGTCCCCACTGTGATGTGTGTTTGGGCTGTGATAAAGCTACCTATTGGAGAGGGTGAGAGACACCAAGCCCATGTCCCTCAGCCACCTCCAAGGGTTTGACCCCATTTCTGGTGTGGTCATGATCCTTTGGGAGACCCCTGCTCCCACCAAAGGCTACCTGGGATCAAAAATCTAAGCCACAGACCCAGCTGTGTAAGCCTCTAGATCTGGCTCCAGACAGGGGCCTGGGAGGGGACTCTCTGAGGGAAATCATCCTGTTGGCTTCATCTCCACCCAGGGAGCTGCCCACTGACAGCCTCATCTAGTCTCCCCCTTTGCTAGAGAACCAAAACCAGCTTGGTGCTTCCTCAGCATCCCCCTCTGTGTCCCCATTAGCCAGCTCCCATTCCAGGTGTATTTCCTTTCCTCTGCCTCCCCGACAGGTATGGCAACCCCAGAGAGAGGGTGAATCTGCCCAGAAACCAGAGCATTCACAGACCACCTGTCCAGGGCAGAACCCCAGCTCCAGAGCGCTCCAGCCTTCCTGTGTGTCCCCAGGATGCCACCAATAAATTGGCACTGCAGGGCTAAAAATAACAGCATCTGATCGCGCCTCCGTATATCCATGGCAACACAGGCTGCAGCCTTTTCCTGCCGGGCCGGTGTCTGACACTCGGCTCAGTGCACCAGGCCACAGTGAACCAGCCATCTTCCCACTGCCCACTTTGGGGAGGGCGCTGGGGAGTCAGGCTGTCCACGCCTGCTGCCAGCTGCAGTCCACACTCCTGGGACCCTCAGACTCACAAGTGCCTTCCAGGGTCCTGGAGCCAGAAGCTATTAACTGAGCATCCTCATTTCTGGGGAAAAGGGTGAATAAGGAGGGGCTGACATCTTTCTGTCACTTGTAGACATTCAAGCACTTTAATGGAAATTAAAAGAGGTGTTTTTTTGTTTTTGTTTTTGTTTTTGTTTTTTAAGAGTAGAAATCCCCACCCCAGCCTGCACCCTGGGGAACTCAAGCTTTGGGCTGGACACAGCAGCCTGGGCCCTGGCATTCACCTGGGGTTTAATTTTTCCATCTCTCTCTCAACCTCCACGTCTTTCAGCAAGAGCTCCCCTAGGTTGCCAGGCAGAGAAAGGCTGAAGGGATTGAAGTAAGGAAACTGCTGTTTACTTCTGCCAGTCTAGGGCTGCCTGGCACTGGGGCAGGAGGCTGGATGAAGTGGCTCAGGGAGAAGAGCCTGCCAAGCCCCATCAGAAACTGAACCTTCTGTCCCCAGCTTTGGAAAATAGGTGGACGGGTAGTGAAGCCCTCGGACAGGGGCCAGGCATGTGTCAAAGGCATGTGATGGCATAGAAGCATCCAGAATGGAGCTGAGTTCCCATCACAATAAATCCCTGTTCCTGGGCACCTGCAGGCCAGAACCCTTTGGGGAATAAATTGGCACGGATCTCAACTGAGCTTGCTTAAACCAGGTAGCTGCAGGAAGGGGAAGATATTTGCCATTGGCTGACTCCCTCAATCCCATTTTTTTTTATCCTGGCTTTTGTTTTCACTTAAGGAGCCCATAAATGCATAGGCATTTGCTGATAGTTTTTAGAATCTTGTGAACCCCTCTGGGAATTCGTAGTTCCTGGGAAGTGAAAGGAAAAGATTTTATGGTATCATCACTGTTTAGCCCAGCAGCAAATCAAAGAACCATCCATGTTCCAGAAACATGGAATCTCATCTCTTTAGACCAAAGGCCTCTTGGAGCCAAAGAGATTCAAAGGCAGAAGGCAGGGCTTAGCCCACTCTTACAGCCATCTGAAGGGGGAAGTCCCTGCCCTGAGGTTACCCACCTCTTCCCAAACCCTTTGTAGCCTAACCTCAAGAGAAGCCATGGGAGTGGCTCCCAATACCTTTTTTCCCTTGGCTGAGAGCTACTCATGGAAATGCAAATCTATTTTAATTAAGGTGGCTAATAAACAGCAATTATGTTTGCAGCAATTTTTGTTTTGTTCCCAGCATAATTTTGCACATTCTCCCCATCATTACTCTTATCTGTCTTTCCTAAGACATCACCCCTGAGATGGGGAAGGGAGTTCAACCACACCCCATCCCCCAACCACTTATCCCAGCTAGAAAATTAGCTGAGCAAATGGTTGTAGTAGCTGTTTCTCTTTCCCACTTTCAATGTCAGGTTGGGATCACACAGAAAAGACTTAGGTTAGATAACTGGCAGAACTGGAAAAGAAGCACTATAGAACAAGTTCTGCTTTGGGTGGACTCTCCCTGTTGCCTGATGTGCTAAATGTGACAGGCACTCTCAGAACTTGCCACCCATAAACATGTCGAACCTGCATGCATATTGGATGGGATAATATTGAGGTCAGTTTTAGAGCTGTGGTCTCACTAGGGCCATCTAGGTATGTGTGTGGAGACAAGATTATAAACTACAGGATGTACTGAGACACACATTGGATTAAGATAGTGAACATGGGGCTGGGGATATGGCTCAAGTAACAGCGCACTCGCCTAGCATGTGCAAGACACTGGGTTCGATCCTCAGCACCACATAAAATAAAGATATTGTGTCCACCTAAAGCTAAAAAATAAATATTAAAAAAAAAAGATTGTGAACACGGCCAACACATTTCACCTATCCTGGGTGATTTTGGCCCCTGGTAGAGGGACAGCACCCTTTTTCTTCCTTCGGAGGAACCTTACCGAATACAGCCAGTTTGTTAGGCAAGAGCGCCCTCTACTGGAGAATTGAGAAATGGCTTGAACTCCAACAGCTGCCTGGGCGGGAGACATTCATTAGGGCTGTTTTCCTTCATCATGACGCCTGCCCCCATTGTGGAGCTTCCCAGGTTCACCACCTCCTTCCTAAAGCTTTCCCAGAGCGCCAGATAGAATTATTCTCTCTCCCCTGAAGTCGGTTGGCAGTTTATCTGCACTGCTTCTGTGCTATGAACGCTCACCACCTTTTATTACAGTTATTTATGTCTTCTGGGGATTCTGACTTAGAAGCATTCACTCATGATCCCTTGAGAGGTTTACAGCTTAATGCCTAATTTATCTTCAAGTCGCCTACCTTGCACTCTACCTTGCACATGTGAGCCTTCCGTAAATGTTTGCTGAATGCTTGGATTAATGAATACACTTTTGAACCCACCACAGAGGGTGCCAGCTGGAGACTTGCCCTTCCTGGATCCCTAATGTGTTGCTGTCTCCCCACCAGGACCCCCCATCATCTCCAGCACCCAGACCCAGCACGCCCTCCACGGTGAGAAAGGCCAGATCAAATGCTTCATCCGGAGCACACCGCCACCAGACAGAATAGTGAGTGCTCCAGGGAACAGGGCAGGCCTGGCGCCCCCACCCCCAGCAGCCCAGGGGTCACCTCTGCCAAGAGCCCAGCAGTCAGCCAGTGGGGGCATACCTCCCAGACTCACTTTCCTCAAGGAAAATCATACCTACCTTGTCTCTCTTGGGAACCCATCCTGAGAACAATTGCAGGCAACCTCCTTTCTTGGATCAGGAGTGTTCCCAGGATGTGTCTGCCATTTGGCTGAGCTCAGGGTTAATGATTCTAACCAAATCTGCATCCTGGGGAAGAGGGGAAAGATGAATGATTTCTTCTATTTCCTGGGTTCAAGGCCAGTCTGGCAAAATCATAAGCTGAGTGGAGTTTACAGTTGGCTACTGCTTTCTGTGCCTCCCAGAGCCCTTCTCTAATAGAGTCTCTTCTGCCCTTAATGGCAACAGGGAACCCCTCATCCTGCACCATAAGTGCTCCCCTCTGAAATGACTGATCCATTCTTCCCTTCCTCCAGCTGTACCCTGAAAGACAGTCAAGGCACCCTGTGAACTGTTGCCCACCCTTGCTCCCACTCCCAGGTGTTTGCATTTTTTTAAAGAGAGGGTCTTGCACCCAAATCCATCTGAAATTGGCAGAAGCTCAGGCATGAAAGTAATGAAAAGAGAGCACTCGGTAGCACAATTGGGGAAAAGATATTATTTCAGCAATCCCCAATGCCTAGGAGAGTCCTGCTCTAAGACTGCTCAGGGTCAACTCCACAGGGAAGACCCTCCTTTCCACAGGGCAGCAGTGCCTGGGGGTGGTGTCAGGTGGGGCCAGGTGCTGAGCTTGTGAGAGCCTGTGTATGCCTGAGACATCAGTCTGTGCAAATAGTAACTGTCATCTTAGTAAACTAAGATTTTATTAGAATGTTATTGCTCTTACACATTTTCTCAGGCATTTGGTTCATTCATTGTTTGAAAGATTCACCAAAAGATTGTAAAAACTCACACATTGAACTAATACCTATGCCTCTCCCTTCACTTCACTTTTTAATTTTTAAAAAATATATAAATGTAAGCCCTCACATCTATAATCCCAGTTATTCAGAAAGCCAAGGCAGGAGGATCACAAGTTTGAGGCCACTTACTGAGACCCTGGGGCAACTTACTGAGAGCCTGTTTCAAAACAAAATACGAAAGTGCTGGGGGTGTAGCTTACTGGTAGATTCCCAGACTTACCTAGCATGTGAGAGGCTCTGGGTTCGATCCCCAGCACCACACACACATAATTCATAAATATAACACATGCCCCTTGTAAAACATCCCATCCAATCACCCTTGAGCATTTCCACACCATCGTTCTCTCACAGATACCTAACTGTAAGCTAGTGATTCTCAAGTGGCAATTTGTCCCCCAGGGGATATTTGGCAGCATCTGGAGACATTTTTGGTTGTCACAACTTTGAAGGTTAATGCTGGTGTCTTAGTGAGTAGAAGCCAGGGCATCTGTGAACAGCCTGCCGAGCACAGGGCAGTCCCACCACTAAGAAGAGGTTGGTCCAGAGTTTGAAAAGCCCTGCTCCAGCTCACCTGGATGGAGCCTCTGGGCACTAACTGGCATGACTTGAGTTCCCATGAACACTGCGAGCCATTATGTGCAAGAGACTTACAAGTTGAGGTGCTTGCAATGTTCATGTAATGACTCTGAAAACAATTAAATTATCTTCCCTGTAAACTTTTGAAAAAGCCAATTCACAACACTAGATGAATCATTCTGGGCTACCTCAGGCTGAGTGAGTCAGCAGCACAGCACAGGGTGCCCATGAGGAGGTCCACATGGGAGAAAGACACACACAGGGCTCAGCTTGTCACCATAAGGGTCCCTCTTTGCCAGAAAATGTTCCAAATGCAGTTGTGCATAAGGCCCTCCTTGGAAGGAAATGGCCTCTGAGATGGCCCTAACTTCTGTGTGTACATGCGTATATGTGTTTGTGATGTGTATACATGTATATGTGTATAGTGTGCTATATATGCATGTATATGTGAATATATGCTGTGTGTAGTGTATATACATGTATGTACACATATATGTGTATAGTGCAGTGTGTATACAATGTGTTTGTAGTGTGACACGCACATGTACCTGTATATATACATATTGGTGATGTGCCTGTATGTGTGTGTTGTGATGTTTATATGTGTTTCAGTATGTGCAGGTGTGGATGCATGTTTGTGGTGTATGGTACATGTGTGTACCATGATGTGGGTGGTATGTTATGTGTATACATGCATGGTGATGTGCGATGGTGTGCACTGTTTTATGTATGTGATGTGTGTGCAAGTATTCATGTGTACACATATTGGTAGTGTGTGGCAGTAAGCATGAACTTGAGCCTGGCCGTGTCAGTGCCTGGGGTGGGGAGGTGGCATTGAGGTCCTGGCATGGGCAGCCTATAGGGGTCTCCTACTAACTCTGGGCACCCTGGCAGGCCTGGTCCTGGAAGGAGAATGTGCTGGAGTCGGGGACGTCTGGGCGCTACACAGTGGAGACGGTCAGCACGGAGGAGGGTGTCATCTCCACCCTGACCATCAGCAACATTGTCCGGGCGGACTTCCAAACCATCTATAACTGCACCGCCTGGAACAGCTTTGGCTCTGACACTGAGATCATCCGGCTCAAGGAGCAAGGTGAGGGCCACCAGGGTCACCAGAGCAACCTGGGGACCAGCAGGGTGCAAGGCAGGTCCGAGAACCAGTCACAGCATTCTTTACCTGCCACACAGCCCTGGCTGGCTCCTCTCTGAGGCAAGGGGCACCAGCCCCATCAGGAAGCCAGAAGGGGAAGAAATTTCTGGGAGTGGCAGAATACTTCAGGGAAAGGTGACCACAGAACAAGCTGGGCTAACCAGTCCTGTTGAGATGCCCAGAAGCTTCCAAAGGCCCTGACCTCTACACCCTCTGCCCTTCCTTGTAGGCGCTGGCCTGATGCCAAAGTGCCCTTATGATAGGGTAGAAGTCCTGCAGGGGGTGCCAAGCTAAAACTAGGGGGTGGTGCCTGAGGGTCCAGATCCCTGGTGTGGGGAGGCAGGACCCAGACCATCAGCAGTTCCAGGGGTAGAGACGTGGACCACAGAGCTATAAAAGGAAGACTGGGCAAAAGGGTGCAGAACAGCCAGGTTGGCATGAAGGGAGGAAAAAGAGTCCCCCACTGTGACCCCAGGCATAGACTGTCCCAGCTCCTTGTCAGACAGGTGCTAAGAACTCCAGTCTCTGCTCAAAGTTCCTGGGCACCAATTACCAGGTGGAGAACCTCAGAGGGCCACTGCGGGCTGGTTGCAGAGAAGCTCCACATGCAGCCAGCAGCGCTGCTGCTCCTGAAATGGGCTTGGAACTTGCCCCTGGGCCAGTCAGAGCTCAGCCAGGGAGTTCCAGGGATGGTGTTCAGCCAGGTTGGGCCTCCCCAAAAAAGATTCAGGGCCAAGCAGGTGGTCCCAGCTGAGCCCCTGAGGCCTCTAGGGATCACATGGCGATCGCACCTAAGGGTCAAATCTCAGAGTGTCTCCCACCACCTCTACCTTAATAGGAGCTGCTTTGCATAACGCTTTGCACACAATTTGCATAATATCATCCACCTGTCATCCTAACCCTCCTGGCCCCCTGTTGCCTACCCTCCTTGTCTTCCCCTCGGTGCCCCACCCCCGTGCCCTCCCCTTGGTGTTTTCACCCACCCTCACACCCCCTCCCAGGCTTGACTTTTCTCTCTCCACCCCCCTCTGGAGTGTCCAAGTCAGTCTGAATGAACTCCAAGTTCAGTCGGGCGAGCCTGGATCTCTGGCGCAGTCCAGGGATGTGATGGAGGAGGGAGCCCCCCTTGCCCCAGCCCCCTCCAGGTGGCCAATCCCCGCCCACCCCACCCTGGCCAGCCAGGCCCTGGCTATGGACGCTTGCTTTATTTCCAAACAGGTTCGGAAATGAAGTCGGGAGCCGGGCTGGAAGCAGGTACGGAAGGAGATGTTGAGAACTTCCCTGGGATGGGGGAGGGACTTCTTGGCTAGTGGGGGAGGGGACTGACATGGGGTAGGGAGGCCTTTGCAGGCCACTAACATCCCTGCCCTCCCTACATGGAGGGCTTAGTGCAGTCAGAACAGCGGGAGAGGGCCTCCCAGCCAACTGGGGTCTAGGGACCCCAGAGACCTGTCTCCTGTCTGCTGCCATGGCCCCAGGGCTCCTTCCTCCCCAGGACACTGGCTCCGCTCCTGTCCCTTCCATTCCTTCCTTCCCTTCTCTTCACAAGCCCCAGCCCCTGACCCCCTGTATTTCCAAGCTTCCCCGACTTCTCCCCCATTGCCTCCCAGGAAGCCTGCCTCCCAACCCCTGCTGCAGCTTGCTTAACCCTGCTTGCTGGCATTCCTCCTCCTCCCCTGTGAAGTGTCATCTCACCACCAGGCCGAGGCTGCTGGGCAATGCACACACCCAGCCCCCACACCCCCTGCATCTGCAGCAGAGTGGTCATCAGACTCCTTAGACCTAGTTGCTCTGTCTAGACACTTGTGTACACACATACATACACACACAACCAGGACAGGGTAAATCAGACTCCACAGGGCGAAATAAGTTCTCACCAAGGACTCAGGGGGTCTTCTGTCTCAGTTTTCTGCCCATACTGGCCCCTGGCCCATGTTACCCCTCCAGGTGGGCCCACATACCTCTCCTCTCTGGGCACAATGCAGGGCACGGCCAGCTCACAGCCAACCCATGCAGCACACACAGAGCTGGCCCCTGCTCTACTATCTGGACTCCCTCACCTCTGGTAGCTCCATCCTGTCTCCATTCCGTGTCTGTCTGTTCGCACTCATCTGGAGTTTTCTGACACTTTCTTCCCATGGTGTCTGAGACTCCTCATGCCCAGTCTCCCTCCTTGGATGGAGTCGAGGCTGAGGGAGGGCAGCTTCCCCTCCCAACTCCTTGAGGAGAGAGAGGACCTGCCTGCCCAGGCTGCCTAGGCCAGACCTCCAGAGGCCAGGCAAGGAAGAAACACCAGGAAGAGGAAGGGATGCCACCCAGAGCCCTCCCCCACCCAGGCCCCCTCCTCCTCCACCCTTGCCCACCTGCTTGGAAACAGTTCTCCAACCAAGATGGCAGCTCCCTCACCCTGGAGCAGCTGCTAACTACTCCAGGAAACACGGATTCAAGAATGCCACTAGTCAGAAAGGACCCTAGATACTGCTGCCCCAGCTCTGTGGATTTACAGATGAGAATCCAAGTCCGGGGATGTGAGGACAAGTCATGACCTGGCTCTGAGTTCAGCTGAGACAAGCCCTGAGTTTTTCCAAGAAAGTTTACTAGGAATCAGAGGACAAACAAATCAAACCCCAATTTATAAATTTCAAAAGCAGAGAACCAATGAGTTGTCAAAGCAGTTTTCCTTTCCTAATGGAATTAAACCAAGAGACAGCAGCATTTGTTTGTCAAAGCAAACTCCCTGAGGTCATGTCCCTTTCCTCGTTCCTGACTGTTAAGAGCAACCCAGATACTTCCCTTTCCAACCTGAGTTTTTGCTGTCCCCACTTCCTGCTGGTCACGTCCTCTGTCACTTCTGCAGTGGTCTCGGCCACCCATAGGTAGATAACACATGGGTTAGTGTGCAGGTCAAGGGTGGCAAAGGAATGGACCAGCTTAATCACAAGCTGCCAACCAAGAGGCACCAGCTCCTGCGGGTTGGTGTCCCCACCACCTCCCACACCCTTCCAGCAGTGCCTTAGGGACCCAGGTGTGAGGATTTGTTCATCTCATCCTATCAAGAAAACACCCAGGGATGAGGGTGGTAGAGTATTAACCGAGCATGCGTGTGCCCTGGGGTCCATCCCCAGCACCATGGTAGGTGGACCACGGTCCAGAGCAAACACCACACTGTCACAAAGTCCATCCACACTGATGAAGGTGGGGAGGGGGGCGATGAGGCTCAGTCTTTCAGAGGAGCGTGCTTCTCCTTAAGGTTGTGATCTGCTATAGTCACCCCTTCCTGAACAAACACTGGCATTAGGGCTGGGTGCCGGGCCCTGCTCCAAGGCCTTCCTACACAGTCCTTCATCTCAGCCCCGCAATAACCTTCTGAGGCCAGCACTATTATTACCCCCCTTTTGCAGACAAGAGAAGTAGAGTTAGCTTGGAAGAACTAATGGATCCAGAACTCCAGCAGCCAGCAGTCTGGGCTGGACAGTACATGTTAAGATTTGGAGGATGCCATGTGACACAGTGGACCGAGCTGGATGGGATGGGGGCAATAGGAGGAGACCTGGATTTACCTTGGCTCTACTGCAGCTGTGTGTCTTTGACCACATCACTTGACTTTTTGGGGGGCTCAGTACCTCTGTCTGCAAATGGAAACCTTGGATTCAGTGAGCCCCAAGGTCACCGGCCCCAACACTCTCGAGTTCTATTCCTGATGGTCATTTGGGGGTTCCAAATCGTGTGTTCAGGCCACATATCAGTCATAGAAGGGCCAGGGCTGTCTGGTAGTGCAACCCCTCTTCACCCCCCCCCATCCCCACAGCTGGGCCAGGGGACAGACTGCAGGCAGGGACTGGGGGCTGGCCTAGCTGGGGTTCCCAATGCTCTCACACTGCAACAGGTGCCAGGTGCTCAGAGAGCTGGAGGAGCAGGCTGGTCAAGGGAGAAGGTCATTTCTCCTTAGAGAAGTGGGATAGGGAACTCTGATCCTGTCCCCCTGGCTCCTGAGATATGGACACCTGGGGGCTCCAACCCATGATGCCCCGCAGGCCCTGAGGGGAGGCTGCCTCCAACCTCAAAACTAACAGCTGGGTGTCTGCACGTATTCTCCATGTACCTGGGGAAAGGAAGAGAAGGAAGGAACAAACTGAACAAACAAGGGCTGTGACCATAGTCATTTTTCAAAGAAAAACCAGGACTTCTGACTCACCAGCCACCACATGACAAATTCCTTGTTTAATGCCAAAGAACAATAAATCAAGCCAGCCTCACCCTGTATTTTCAGTGTTCCTCTCCCCCGCCCTCCCTTCTCTGTGTCTGCTCCAGCGTTTGTCCCTCCTTCCTGTTCCTCCACGCTCTCCCTCCACTTTGTGTCCTCCACCCCCATCTCCACAGTCCCACCCAGAGCTGACTCTGGGGGGACTCTGCCTGTGCCTTTCCAGGCCCCACAAAGGTATCACCCAGAAGGGCCCATGTGGCAGTGGTCTGGCCCCAGCTTGACAGGGGCTGCACGGAAGGGGACTGGGTGAGGTCCTGGGGGGACAGTGTCCTGCCCCCCATCCCTCATCAGCCGTGCCTGCTTCTCTCCCACAGAGTCTGTGCCGATGGCCGTCATCATCGGGGTGGCCGTAGGAGCTGGTGTGGCCTTCCTCGTCCTAATGGCAACCATTGTGGCCTTCTGCTGTGCCCGTTCCCAGAGAAGTACGGGAGGGAGACCCGGGATCTCAGGGAGGGGGACAGAGAAAAAGGCCAGGCTTAGACTTCCCCGGAGAGCAAGTAAGCAGGAGTGCAATGAACCGGGGCCCTAACAGTGCTGTGAGCTCCTGGGGCAGGGATGGGTCTGATGTGGTCATTTCACTTGCAGTGCCTTGTGGGGTGTCTGCACCCAGTGGGCATGCAGCTGAGGTTGAACTGCACTAGACTGACCTTCATCCAGCAAGGAAGGCAGCCAACAATTTGGGTTGGACAAATATGTCACTCTCGTCACGGAGAGTATACAGATCCAGGGGGAAGAAGTGGCTTGCTCTGCCAGGGCTGCAAGTTTAACCTGAAAAGCCAGTCACCTACCCAGGGGGAAAAAAAACATTCAAGGAATTGCTCTGAAGAATCCTCTGCACCCAGATCTCCACACTGGGCTTAGCTCTGAAGTTGTGTGACTGACAGACAGGTGCAAGGGGAAGACAGAATGGCAGAAGTGAAGGCAGTAGAGGTGCAGGCCCTAGTTCCACCTCTTCCTCCATGTGGTTCAGGGAAAACCACACCTATTCCAGGCCTCAGTTTCCTCATTTGTGATATTAAGGGGTTGGATAACTGAAGTTTTATGACCCTACTTGGCTCTAAACTTCGATGAGCAGAAAGCACAAAGTGAATCACCAATATTATAAGTCTGCTCCTTCCACCACTCAGCCCTTACATGTTGGAAGGAATCCAGGGTTCCCCTTACATTTTCTCCAGTCTAGCTAAGCAGCCCTAGTTCCTATGATTACCCACAATTATGCCCTCTCAGGACCTCTTTTACTGCCTTCCAATAGAAATTATAGAAGAATATATTTTAGCAAGAATTTTCTCAGAAAGCTCTCCAGCTAGAAACAGGCTACCTCTTGTAGAAAGAGTAAAGTTTCCATCATGGAAGCTTCAACAGGAAAAACTGGACCCCTGTGTGTTTGTTTCTGTTCTGGGTGAGGGGTTGGCTATGAGATCTTAAGGTCCATTCTGACACTAAGTCATGGTTCTATGAATGGAGAGAACAGAGCCTGGTAGAGTGGGTCAGAGAAGCTTCTAGAAGGAAGTAAGGATCAGTAAGGTGGATGATGGATGAGGACCACCTCTCCAGCCAAGGGAAAATGCCTGAGGTGCATGCATCAGGGAGCCAGGCGGCCCGTGTGTGGCTGGCCTCTCCAAGAGGCCCACATAGTCCACAGCATATCCACACAGATGTTCTATGGGCAGGGGGTGGGGGGTGGGGGCTGGTGAAGCTGCTGAGTTCAGGGGTTGAAGGGAGGGTAAATCCTGCAGGGTGGTGGGGTGAAGGGTGGCATCAGGCAATTGTGGGGGAGCATGACATCTCGGGCCTTGATCCCTGAGGGTGAGAACTGAATTTGTCGCCTACACTTTCCTATTTTATGTCCAGACCTGAAAGGTGTTGTGTCAGCCAAAAACGATATCCGAGTGGAGATTGTCCACAAGGAGCCTGCCTCCGGTCGGGAGGCGGAAGAGCACTCCACCATCAAGCAGCTGATGGTAAGAATGCTGCCCATTCCCCACCATACCCTGTGACCATGTCCCCAGAAGGTCCTGGGACTGGAGGCTTCTCAATGTCCTTGACACTTCTGAGAAGCAGAGCATCAGTCGAGATGCTCTACAACAGACCAGGCACACAGTCTCAACCAACAAACATTTATTTGTGGGCCTGTTGTACTGCGCCTGGTGACCTGGGAGACTTGAAGACATCTAAGGTACAGTCCCTGCCCGCAGAGAGCCTGACCACTCAGCAGGGAGAGTCCATAGGCTTAAATTGCCATAGTACGTTGCTATATATAATTCCACACACATATATATAATAGATACTCAGTACATTCCTCTCCTCTCTCCTTCCCCCAAAACTTGTCCGTAAGAAGCATAGGTTCCTCTTTGGGAACTGGATTGCCCACCAGAAGCAAACTCAGAACCTCTCCAGTGATATAAAGCCTGCTATACCTCTTCTTGATCCCTCTTCATGACTCAGAATCCACCTTACTGTCCAGGCAGAAGCCTAGACAACTGTGTTAGTCAGCTTTTCATTACTGTGACAAAATATCTGAGAAAAACAACTTGAAGGAGGAAAGATGTATTTTGGCTCATTATTTCAGTCCATGGTTAATGGCTCCAATGTTTCTGGGCCTGGGGTGAGACAGAGCATCATGGCAGAAGAACATGGCAAAGCAGCATTTGGAGCAAAACTGCTCACTTCAGGGCAGCTAGGAAGCAGAGAGAGAGCAAGGAAGTGGTCAGGGGTAAGATAGACCCTTCAAAGGCACACCTCCAATGGTACACTTCCTCCAAGGTGCCACCTTCTACAGTTTCTACCACCTCCCAGTAATGCCATCAAATTCTGAATCTGTCATTGGATTAATCCACTGTTGAGGTTAGAACCCAAAACCCCACCTCTGAACATTGTTGCACTGAGGAGCAAGCCTTCGATATACGAACCTCATAGTAATGAGGGTTGTTACCTAGGTCAGGAGATGAAAGGCATGAGGGGATGAAGGTCTCCCCAAGGGGAAGCTAGCCACAGGGCCCTCAGCAAGTCCCTTCTGCTAAATACCCTGCTACTCTTACCAAGATACCCAGTGAACCCCACTCTTTGCTGAGGGTATAGAATTGTCTGAGACAGAGAGAATATTTCAATCGGAGGAAACTCAAAGGCCCATTCGGGAAGAAGGATTCCAGATCCAAACTATAACAACCATGCTAGAAACTTGAGGTGCATATTGTCATGGTAGGAATGTGCTGGAGTAGCAACAGCAGAGGAAGGGGTAAAGAGCTTCAGTGTCCTCATCTATGAAATGGGCATAAGATACAGGGCCATGGTGAGGCCCTGAAGAGCTCAGAGCCCATGAATCAGTACAGTTGTTCCTTGGTATCTATGGGGATTGGTTCCAGGACCCCCTAATGATACCAAAATCTTAAGATGCTCAAGTCTCTTACATAAAATTGTGTAGTGTTTGCATATAATGTGCCCAATCCTCCCATATACTTTATTTTCATTTATCTGTTTATATGTTTGTTTGTTTTGCAATAGTGGGGATTGAACCCAGAGGCACTCTACTACTGAGCTATGTTGCCAGCATTTTTTTTTTTCAATTTAAAAAAAAATAGTCTTACTAAGGCACACCCCCAATGGTACACTTCTAAGTTACTAAGTGTCTTACTAAGTTTCTGAGGCTGGACTTGAACTTTCGATCCTCTTGCCTCCCAAATTGCTGGGATTACAGGCGGGACCAGCCTCCTCCCATATGAGTTAAATACCTAATACAATACAATGTAAATACTATGCAAATAGTTGTTACATAGTGTTGTTTAGGGAATAAAGACAACAAAACAGTCTGTACACAGAACTTTCTTCCCAAGTGTTTTTGATCCTCAGTTTGTAGAATCCACAGTGCAGAACCTGGGGATACAGACAGCTTACAGTGAATGCTCAGTAAATGTTAGTTACTTGTGTTGCTCTAAAATCACCCACTAGATGGTGAGCAACTACTATCTTGTTCATCCCTGGCAGGGGCTCACAAATGTTTATTGAATTGAACCGACTTTTCCCTCTGCTACTCTTTCTCTATCCAATTGATTTTTAGGGACTGTCAATTCCACCTCAAAAAATGGTCTCAAACGTGTGTCCCGCCTCTCCTGAGCTGTCACTTCCTTATCTCAGGCCTCATCCTCACTCCCCTGCAGAAGCCTCCTAATTGATTTTAGCATTTGCCACTTTTCTCAACCTATCCTCCAGAGCCCTATCAAAGGGTTCTTCCAGAATGCAAATCTGATCTCCTGATTATCTTACTTCAATCCCTCATTGGCTCCATGTCTACTGGATAAAGTCCAGCTGCCCAGCATGTCATCAGACCCTTCCTGCAAGGCAGCTGCCAATCTTTCTAGCTCCATCTCCTGGCCAACCACATCTGGCTTTCCAGACACACCAAAGAGCTTGTGATTCCTGGTCTTGGAGTCTTTTATACCTGGAAGGCCTATGCACAATCCTGTTGACTTTTTTTTTTTTTCTTTGAATTTTACATTCTCTTACAAGAATCAGCTCAAATGTCATCAACTCCATGATATTCTGTTTGCTGGCCCCCTGCCCCACTGACGGTGAGCTACACACCCTCTACTCTTCCCAAACACTCTGTGCGTGTCTCTTCCATAGTGCATTGTTCTAATTACACCTTACCCCACCACCAATTATCCCTGAACTCCTCAAGGACAAAGGTCATGTTCTGAGTCTACACTTGTCTATTCCCCCCAGGGGCTAACTTAGCACCTCACTTAACAGAGTGTTTAATTTACAAGGAAAGGAAACCACAGCCTAGACTTGAGTAGGAACCAATGACTCTGTAGTTAAGCTTCATGGATCTATCCTTAGATAGAAAACAGTATATAAAATAGAAAACAGTAGGGGTTGCTCAGTATCTCAGTAACACCAAGGGGGTGTTTGGCAGAAGGGACTTGCTGAGGCTCTGCCGCTAGATTGCCCTGGGGGAAATCTCATTCTTCCTTCCTTTCACCTCTTGACCTTGGAAACAGCCCCATCATCCAGGGGAGGTAGGTTTAGAAGTTGAGTGCGGTGGGAAACAACTCTAATCCAGATAGAGCTGGAGCATTTATTGCAAAATGGAGGGTAAAAAGTAGTAGTCGTAATAGTGAGGCAGTAACAAGATGGCAGCACATTGGCTGGTTCTGTGGATTTCAGAAGGAGAGGAGGAAGTTCCTGCAAGAGAGAAGGAACTTCCTGCTGAGAGATCATGTGGGAACCTGGCCTAGACCATGGACTTAGCAGAAGCGATACTTGGGAGGTATCAGTTGTGTCACAAGTGAGGCATCACTGTGGTTATTCAGATTACTGCAAACACCCACTGTGTGCAAGTATGCTCTGTTTTTCATATGTCTAATGACTATTCTCAGTGATTGAGATCTAAGCTGCTTCATTCAGTCATTCAACATAAATCATGATATTTGGAACAGCCCTACCGTTTATCTGGCACTGTGCTATGCGGTGGTGAATCCAAGAATTAATATATTCCATTCCAAAAGTCTTCTGGTCAATGACCACAATATGCAAGAAATTGGACCAGATGTGGATGGAACCCGAACAGAGCAAGAAGTGGTCCTCCATCTTAAGTGGTTTGATATCTGTTAAGGAAGACAACTTTCCAGTGCATCTAAATCACTGCTATGAATAACAGATGTGGCCAGCTTTCTATTGCTATGACAAAATACCTGAGAAAATTGACTTAAAGAGAGGAAAGGTTTATTTTAGGCCACAGTTCCAGTTTCAGAGGTATTACTCCATGGTTGCTTGGACCTGTTGCCTTTGGACTTGTGGTGAGGCAGAAGAATATCATGGCAGATACACATGGCATAGGAAAGCAGCTCACCTCATGACAACCAGAAACAGAATGAAGAGAGAGGCCAGGTGCAGTGGAACATGCCTATAATCCCAGCTACTTGGGAAGCTGAGGCAGTATCATAGCAAGTTCGAGGACAGCTGGACAAGGTAGAAAGACCCTGTCTTGGGCTGGCGTTGCCGCTCGGTGGTAGAGTGCTTGGCTAACATATGTAAGGCACTGGGTTCCATTCCCAGCACCACATATAAGTAAATGAATAAAATACAGGTTCATTAACATCTAAAAAATATTTTTAAAAGAAAGAAAGACCCTGTCTTAAAATTTAAGAGAGAGAGAGAGAGCAAAGAAAAATAGGGCTGGAGATGTCGCTCATTGATACAGTATTTGGTTGGCATACATGAGGCCATGGGTTCAATCCCCAAAACTAGGGAAGGAAGGAAGGAAAAAAGAAGAGAGGAGGGCCCAAGATCCTGACCTCCCTTCAAGCGCATGCCCCCAGTGGCCTTACTTCTTTCCACTAGGTTTCACCTCCTAAAGTTCCACCACCTCCCAACAGCAACACAGGCTGAGGACCAGCCTTCAACATGTGGCCTTTGGGGGACACTTGAGATCAAAACCATAACACCAACGTTGCCAACACCTCACATGTAATGATTCTCTGTGGTTCCTTCTTAAGGCCTTCATTCAGCCCTAGCACTGGTTGACGAATTGCCCTAAAGAGAGGGAACTATGCCCTGTATTTGATGTTCTGTAATTATGTATTTCCAGATCCAACACCCTGATGAGCAGGGCCATATATTAACGTGTCTTCATCAGTGTATCCCTGGACCTTAGCACAGTGTCTGGCTAATAAATTGCTCAATGAATTAAATTGAATCAGCCAAGGACAATCCCTGAAGGAGATGATGACCTAGCCCAGCTGCAGACAGCGACACTTAGGGTCCTGCCCCCTGCTTCACCTCCCCTACCCTTCCTGCCTCTCTGCCTCAAGGAAGAGGATTCCAGGAGTAGGAATGAGGCATAGGATCTCATCCCCAATCCTTCACCTGCCTTCTGTGGTCCACGCAGGGAGGGACATAGAGGAGGTGAAGCATATGTGATAATCTTTTGAGTTCATTTCCCCATCTTTTCCTTGGAGGAGGTGGAGTTGAGCCCACCTCCTATGCACTGAGATGTCATTTCTTGGATTATAGATGGAACGGGGTGAATTCCAACAAGACTCGGTACTGAAGCAGCTGGAAGTCCTCAAAGAAGAGGAAAAGGAGTTTCAGAACCTGAAGGTGAGAATGACCACAGGTTCTAAGAGGCAGCCATGGAATCTGTTCTTCAGCTTTGATGGCCCCAGCCCCAGTCCCTACAAAGAATGACAGCCAGGAGAAGGGAAGGGCCAGAAGCCAGCCTGGGGACAGGTCTGTAGCCAATCCCTAAACTGGGGACTCCCTGCTGAAGGCACCCGCTCTCTCCACCCCAGCGTGGAAGAGACTGAGAGTTAAGACTCCTCAAATTCACCTCTCCCCCTGCTCCTCACAATTAGATTTTAAAATCCGTTATCCCTGTTCTAGACAAACACAAACAACAATTAAAGTCTCATTTTCAAGTTTTCTTGAAACAGAAAAAAAATAAATAAATAAATAAAAAGAAAATAAAATAATCTTGCAGTGCCCTAACATAAACCCTGGAAGGTGGTGGCAGAGGTAATCAGAGGCCACTCAGGAGGTGTCCAGTTCTGGGGTCCTCAGCTCCTTCCCTTCAAGAACCTGCCAGCCCTCTCCTGGCATCCAGCTTCACTGCCTTCCTGGGTCTCGGGTTGGGTGTCCTTCTGCCTGCCTCCAGGCCTCCCCAGTGGCTTCCTTCCTCCTCCTCACCCCTCCCTGGGCAAGGTAGGGCTGGCTGGTTTTAGATCCCCCCACCGTGTCCAGCAAAGGCTTCCCCAACTATGCGCCTCTCACTCTCACCCACTCAGGACCCCACTAATGGCTACTACAGTGTCAACACCTTCAAAGAGCACCACTCGACCCCGACCATCTCCCTGTCCAGCTGCCAGCCGGACCTGCGCCCCGCAGGCAAGCAGCGTGTGCCCACGGGCATGTCCTTCACCAACATCTACAGCACCCTGAGCGGCCAGAGCCGCCTCTACGACTACGGGCAGAGGTTCGTGCTGGGAATGGGCAGCTCCTCCATCGAGCTTTGTGAGCGGGAGTTCCAGAGGGGCTCCCTCAGCGATAGCAGTTCCTTCCTGGACACACAGTGTGACAGCAGCGTCAGCAGCAGCGGCAAGCAGGACGGCTACGTGCAGTTTGACAAGGCCAGCAAGGCCTCCGCCTCCTCTTCCCACCACTCCCAGTCCTCTTCCCAGAACTCCGACCCCAGTCGACCCCTGCAGCGGCGGATGCAGACTCACGTCTGAGGATCACACACCGTGGGCGGGGACAGGCCAGGGAAGAGCGCAGGGCATGTTCTGGTTCTCCAGGGACTAGGGCTACTTTGCAGAGGACCCCGGAACTGGACACCTCCAGGATGGCCTTTGAGCACCTCTGCCAACATCTTCCTGTGAAACTCTGATCAAGCACAAATCTGGGTCCCCAGCAGCAGCCTGCCAGAGGCAGCAGGTGGGGAAATGGATGGAGGATGCAGCTGATGTGCTTGGTGCTAGACACCTTTGTCCCCAGCCCTTTCCTGGAGGCCCCTCTACCACCTCCTCCCACAGGCACTAGTGGCAGCTATAAATTTGCTTTCATGAAACTGCCGTCCACTCTCTGGTGTCCCCTGGGATTTCCCCCTTGCTGCCCATAAGCCCTCCCTGTGCCTGTGCTCCTATACAGCCCTAGGGAGAAAAGGGGAGTTCTTCTCGGCACCAAGCTGCTCCAGAGACCGCAGCTCCCCACACTGCTCCCAGCCCACGCCTCAGAGACTTGAGAAGCCAGAAATGGCCCTGGCCAAAAGAGCACACCACCTGGGAACCTGGCTCCAATTTGTTTGGTGTTTTGTGTCCATACTCTTGCAATTCTGTCCTTGGACTTGATGCCTCTGAACTTGGAGGTGGGACTGGCCCAATCAGAGCCTGGTGTCCTGTGGGGAGGGAGACTGTGAAGCCTGGGGAATACCGTACCCCTCTCCAGACTGCGGGATTCAGAGCCTCCCCTGCCCCCTGCTTTATGTACTCCCCACCTCCCCACAGCACAATCAGAATTAATATAAGGAGTGAGAGTTGGTCTGGTCAGGGTTCTTTGAACAGTCAATGGAGAGTGTTTCCTGGGTGGTGTTGGTTTGAGGGGGCTGGAGATCAGGTCCCGAAGAGGATGAGACTCTCCTTCTCTGCTGATGAACACCAGGAACAAAGATCCTGTCTCCAGTAAGACTCCATGGGCAAGAGGGAAAGTTCATCTGCGCCTCTCCTCTCCCCCCATTCACCATCTGAAAATAAATGTTAGGGCCATTACCCCAGCAAATCCATTCTGTTCTTTTTTTTTTTTTTTCCTGCAGAGTTACAGAAAGATCCCAAGGGCTCAGAATATGCTTTGGGAACCCTAGTTTCTTTACCCTTCTTTGATTCAATTTTCTCAGACTAGGAAGGCAATTGATGGGTCTGGTTGTGGTGGTAACAGAACCTATAGGCATACTGTCCTGGTGGATGGGCCTCACCAACCCCAACTCTTTTCTAATACAACTGAGGCAACAAGGTCACACTGGACATTTGTCAGATCATTTTAGTCTTTTCCCTTGATATTTTTTGGCAGGGCAATCTCCTTCCATTCAAGTTCAGGGAAGGAGCCCTCTTAAAAGAAGTTAGACCATCAATACCCTAATACTCAGATATGGGACTCAAACAATGTTCTAAGAATGGTTTTGCTTGGATGGGAAGCTGGGTGATGTCATGGAGGTGGGATGGATAAACAGTGGCTGGTTAGAGTGCTAACACAAAGGTTGTGATTTAAATGGAATTTTGAAGAACACAAATTGCACCCCAAGGTTGTAGGTTCCTTATTGGCTTTATAGCCTGTTTCTCCAACCTTCCCTCACAGCCCTTATCCAGCATAGAAGCCACCACCATAGTCTGTGCTTTCTTCCATTCACTGATTCCTGGGATGGCCCCAATCTGCAGATTCTATGCTTAGCCCTCACAGTTCCCCCACTCAGGGGAATTTTCTGCTTCAATCATACTCCTAGTGCTTTAAAATCCCCCAGTTCCCTGGATATCTTCCTTTGCATCTCTCAACCCTAAGGGAATAGAAACTGATCAAAAATGGAAGTATACATCCCAGTCCCACATCCTGCTCCGGGTGCCACTCTGGTCTGGTGAAGGTGTTAGGATTGTTGACCTCTACCCTCTCTAGGTTAATCTCAGCGTGCTTTCCCTCTTATATATGTTTTCCTTTTGCCAGCAGGGAACAAGGATCCAAATCATATGCAAAATGACTTGATGTGATAGAATAAGGACAAGATGACTTAAGAGAATTTGTTCATTCATTTCTCCTCACCTTGGAGACAGGTGGAGAATCTACAACTTAATCCTCACCAGAACTTCCATTGCCCCATAGCCCCCCACCCCCCCCCAACACACACACAACTTGTAGGGTGAAAGTGCCCATTCTTTCTACAACCCAGGGATATGACAAAATAACCAGAACAGAGAAGATACCTGTTCTGTGAATGGAATGAGCCCGTCTCCCTCCTATGCCATGGGCAATCCCATGGCAAGAAGATGAACTGTTCTAAAAGATGAACATAGAGCACCACAGGGCCACAATCAAGGATGAGGCTATAGAATGTCAATCCTTTGAGCTCTCTTCAGTGCACAAACACAACAAGAATGGGGAAGAGACAGTAGATTCTGAGAATGGTCTTTATGAGGGGGAACAGCAATGCAGGGAGAAAATTAGGGTGAATGGGAGTGGGGTGCTCTGGAGCATTAAGAAGGACCCCAGATTGAGCTATGTGCATCCCTCACTTGTGTCCAGCTCTACTGACTTCTCACAATGTGTGAGGGTACAGAAAAGCCAATAAAGGCGATTATTCTTTTTTAAAAAAAGGTAGTAGGAAGTCCTGAATTCCCTAGTAGGTGATTGTACATTTAATACAAAGAGGGCTCAATACCTGTAATCTTATTTAATCCTTACAATTCTACAAAGTATCACCTTTTTTTTACAGAGGTGAAAATGAAGCTTAGAGAAGCCAAAGACTTGCCCAAGGTCACAGAGTTAAAGAGTGGCAAATCTGAGATTTAAACACACAGGATTTCCACAACAAGATGTTTCTATCCTGCAGTGCAAACTCAAAGCCTCTCTCATCCTAGAATATGAATGGAAGTGACTGACAGTTAAGTTATCTGCTAGCCGGCGCTCTGGGGCAGGCTAGGCGAGGACAAGCCACAGCTCCATTAGGAAGCGGCACTGGCATCCTCCACCTAAAGTCCCCAAATGACCTAGAAAGACCACAACTCCCTGGGAAACAAAGCTATTCCGTGTATCAATTCACTGCCACCCCTACTAAGGCCAGGATCCAGTTTTCTGATAGCTTTAACTTCCATTATTGGCCCTGAGTCACTGGACGGGAGCCCAGTTTCTAATTCTCAGGCTCACTATCAGTCTGCAAAGGCCAGGGTTATTTCCACCACTTTAACTTTCATGGAGTAGGAAGTGCTCTCACATGAAGAGCTAAAATGCCACATCAAGTTCATTTCTGATGAAGCCTATTTAAACAAATCCTATAAAGCAAAAGTCCCGAAAGCACTTTTGAGTTTCCAGAATGGAAAGGATCCAGGGAAATGAAAGCAAACACGATGCAGTCCTTGAGAGATTTCTTAGAAAAGCAAGAAAGGAGTCAACAGGAATTCCACTTCTCACTTCCTGGTTGGGGAAGGATATATGCTATTTATGGTATTTGCTTATGGAGTTGGAATTAAACTGCAAGATATGTAGCCACAAGTTTGATTAATTCTTCCCAGACATCATGTGTAGAGTTCGTGGTGGTACAAGAAAAAAAAAAAAAAAGACAAAAGAGAGTCCTGTTATTAGTGTCTTCTCTCCCCCCCTCCCCCTGCATGGTGCTTGGATCAAACCCAGGACCTTATGCATGCTAGGCAAGTACACTACCACTGAACCACATCTCCAGGCCCCAAATTCTTTATTAAAATAAAAGTATAGTCAGGCACAGTGACGCATGCCTATAATTCACAATGACTTGGGAGACTGAGGCAGGAGGATGGCAAGTCTGAAGCCAGTTTGGGCAACTTAGTGAAACCCAGACTCAAAATAAGATTAAAAGGTCTGGGGATATAACTCAGTGATAGAATGCCCCTGGGAGCATTAAGAAGGACCCCAAATTGAGCTATGTGCATCCTTCACTGCGTCCAGCTCTACTGACTTCTCACAATGTGTGAGGGTACAGAAAAGCCAATAAAGGGAATTATTTAAAAAAAAAAAAAAAAAGGTAATAGGAAACCCTGAATTCCCTAGTAGGTGATTGCACATTTAATAAAAAGAGGGTTCAATATCTGTAATCTTATTTAATCTTTACAATTCTACAAAGTATCACCATTTTTTACAGATGTGGAAATGAGGCTTAGAGAAGCCAAAAGAGTTGCCCAAGGTCACAGAGTTAAAGAGTTACAGTTAATAACCTTATTATTCAATTCTTAGTACAGATAAGAAAAAAAAAATAGACCAATGATATCACAACTAAAACATGAATTTTCCTTTCCCTTTAAAAAAGTCTTTTGAAAGCCCCATATCTAAATTAGTTTTAGAAGCTGTAACTGCATACTAGACATTTGCAGCTCTACCATCAAAACTGGCAGCAATCTCTGGTAGTAACTGGTAAAGAGTTTTCTGCTTATAATTGCTTATCATTTCCACTAGGGCTCCAGCCATCCTTTCCCCAGCCCCCTGTGTTTCAGTCTTCCTAACCAGGTCATAAAATGGGGAAATTTCAAGCTACTCTTCTTTCTACAAACACAAATTGTTTTCTTGAATGAAGACAAGTTTGTCATAAGACCATCAGTTCTTTCCCTTAATAATTGCTGTTCTTTCTTGAGCTACCTCCTCTCATCTCTAATGCTAGGTCTTTGACTTACTCGGAAAGCTTTCATTACTGTTAAGTCCTATAGTTTTATTACTACTACAATGCTCTTCTTTAAAAGGCTTTTTATAAAGGATTAAGGTATAGTTTAGTAGCAAAACACCTGTTTAGGATGGGCAAGGCCACTACCACAAAATAAATAAAAGATGTTTTGTGAACATACATCATTCACAAGATATGCCACTGAATTGTGGTCTGAATCCCTGAGTTTATTTTATTTTATTATACTGAGGATTAAACCAGCAGCATTTAACCACTGAGCTATATCTCCAGCCCTTTTTAAGACAGAGTCTCGCTAAGTTACTTAGGGCCTTGCACTTGTGATCCTTCTGCCTCAGACTCTGGAGTCACTGGGATCACAAGTGTGCACCACCATGCCCAGCTTCATCCCTGATTTTATAGTCACATACGCTTCCCCCACAGCTGGGGACTGAAACCAGGACTTGCTCTACCACTGAATTACAACCTCAGCCATTCCTGTTTATATTTATGCTTCTGCCACTATCCGCCTGCCACTCCATGTTGCCAGTGCTCTTCTCAGACAGTCCATTCAGCCCCAGGACTAGGACATCCTCAACTCTTGGGTCATGAGTGTCCGTTGAGCTCCCTGGCTAGGAAACACCAGACAAGCACAAGCATCTCCTTCGGCTGCTCCTGAAAGTCATGGCCCTTGACAATATCTCAGAATGCAAGGAGAACATGCAAAGAATGTTCTTTTATAATTGTGTTCTTTGTGGCAATTCTAAAGTATTAACATTCAAAAAGAAGGTAAGTGAAGTATTGGGAAACCAGATCTTCATTGGGAGAATTGGGGTCTATTCCTAATTATGCAAGAGGAAACATTGTACTCAGGATAGGAACTGTATATAGGAGGATATTTGTCCCACTAAAGGTCACCTCCACTTAGGCAAAGTCAAGATCAGGTGGACTAAGTTAAAGATACCATCTTTACCACTTTTGCATGGAAATTTAAGAGCCAGGGCTTTGCTGGCTGAGGACTAGACATTGCTTTTCTTTTTCTTTCTTTTTGCAGAACTCGGGGACTGAACCCAGGATCTTGTGCATACTAGGCAAGCTCTCTATCACTGAACTACATCCCCTAAATCCTTTTTCTTTTTTAAAAAAATATTTATAGCTGTAGATAGACCCAATACCTTCATTTTATTTATATATTTTTATGTGGTGCTGAGGATTGAATTCAGTGCCTCACATGTGCTAGTGCTCTACCACTGAGCCTCCTTTTTGTTCATTTTTTATTTTTTGGTTCTGGGGATTGAACTCAGGGACACTCAATCACTAAGCCACATCCCCAGGCCTATTTTGTATTAGAGACAGGGTCTTAGCGCCTCACTTTGCTGAGGCTGGCTTTGAACTCACAATCCTCCCAATCTCAGCCTCCCAAGCTACTGGGATTACGGGCATGTGCTACCACACCTGGCCCCTCATGTTATTTCTTGAGACAGGGTCTCACTAAATTGCTAAAACTGGCCTCAAACTTTTAATCCTCCTGCC